TAACATGACGTCAATGGATGGAAGGGTAGCTACCAAAGTGAAGGGCGGTCAAGCACTTCCTACCGCTGTAGACACTTTAGTTCAAATTTCCGATTATAGGTTCCTTATACCAAAACGTTCAAAATTTCATCCTTTACAATCCCCCAAATTTTTAAAACGTCATTCTGATACACCCTGTATATGGACATTCGGTGTATCTGCATCAATTTTCTCTAAATCAAAGCGAGTCATTCGCAGGCGAAGCGATTCATTTTTTGAACTTAGAGACTTAGCGACTGCGGCTTTTCTTTTCAGTTTTAAGGCCATCCTTTTCCATTGTATCAAGAACTGTTGTATCAAAATTTAATAACTTTTGGATCACTTATTGGGAGAGAAAATTGGCAATTCCAACAGCATAATGCTTGTAGTAGACAATCCACAATTTCACAAGCAATGTCGCCTCCGTGCTTGTGAAGTTGTGGATTGTCTACTGGAGCGAACGACTGATGGAAAACGGAAGCAAAGTATCTTAATCTTTGTTAAACGTTGCAACTTTATTTATATACTTAAGTGTAATGAAATTAAATAAAACTTTATTACTTTTGTATAATACAATAAGTGTTTTGCGATTTTATATATGAAAATAAAAAAGTAGCGTATTTTTAAGATTTGTAGCCTGAAGATAATTATCACTAGCCCAAAAAGTAGCGTGTCGCCCAATTTGAAATTTTTGTAGCGAGGGCACTTAAAAAGTAGCCCAATCTGCTACTTGTAGCCCAATCTGGCATCACTGCTACATTGGGTGCATTCATAGTTGAAAACCAGTTTGGCCAAGTCACTTGGAGATTGGATCACCCTGTTCAAGCTTGAAGCTTGAGCACCCTGCAGCTTGCAGAGAATGAGTCAATGTCATTAAACCAGATCATGACCATAAAGTCTGTGGGTATCAGTTTCTTGTGTTGAGGTTGAAAGTCTTCATAAACCATGTGACCAAGACAATGAAAATTAAACTTTTTGCAAATGTCTGGTACATGCAACAGTTTTGAGGAAATGCAGGCTCTTATTCTGCAGATACACAAGGCAGATGATTATTAGTAAGTGATATAGCCTGCATCCTACCAATCACTATCCCAAAACTAAAAACTTTGAGTATATAGATGCTAATACCAAAATACAGAATCATAAGAACTGGTCTCTTCATCTTGATTTAAGGACATTTTTGAGCAATAAAAAAATGAATGCAACAACCTGCCTCTTGTCTGCTATGTTTTTTAGCCCAGAGATCAACCTTTTCTGGTCACAGATGATGATTGCCAATGGATGGCAAACTCCACAACCAGTGTCATCATAAATCACTCAAATAGATTGCCCAATCCTAACCCAGACTACATCTCATAATGCCCCAATATTAATAATAACAAAATAAAATTCTGAATTCAAAATGACACTGACCCTATCAAATTTATGTCTTTTTAGTTCAGATATGTGTTTCACACTCTACATACCCTATTTTTTTGTGCTTCCCAAACATTTTATGTAAACAGAATCTTCAGATTTATTATATATCATCATAGCCACAGCTTTGCTGGCCAGAAAGTGCAGATCTTCCACTTTCCTTTCTGTCGAACTTCAGGTGTCATTTACATTGATAATATTCCCAATTATGGCTTTTTGAGGTAGAAACTTTCAGGAACTGGACCAGTCATGGTCTCATGAGCTCTTAGCTCAGATCTTTTGTATATTTTTGAAAGATGACTTGTGGTATTTTTATTTTGCTAATTTGTTATAGCAATATGACATCCATTCACTAGTGTCATATTGAACATGCTATACAAAATGCTTAGAGACCATTATTGGATTTTCTTGCTGCATGATATTTTTATTTATTTTATCAAATATGTAACAGCACCCTTTTTTGAGTTTTAAACTCAACAAAATGGAATCATTTCTTCATTTAAGAATTTATTTTTATTTGAAATAGGAAAGTTTTTGTGTTTCAATGTTTATCTTAACAATAAACATTAATCTCTTGAAACATACAATATTCATAGCTAAGATTCAGACTTTTCCTCAGCAATAATATACACAGTACTATCCTTGATACAACAAACAAAGTAGCAAAGTGGTCACAAATGTCACCTGACCAGAAGTTTAAGACATGTGCAATTTTGACAGCTCATGTCATTCAGCAGATGAAAGATCAGCTATCTAGGGTTAAATTGAATAAATTTTAGCTATTTATTCAAGTTTTAATGAGTAGATTAGTTTGACAGTGATTTTGAAAATTCATTTAAGTATATGCAAAATATACATAATGAATGATTTTCAAACATGCATAAAATATTTTGAGATTTAAATAATAATTATAATTTATTACACATGTTAAAATTTTAATATGTCCATATACATATTTGAAGAAATCTAACGATTATTTAGTAAAAATAAACTAAACTCTGTAATAATTACCAATTTTTTTTATAGTATATATAGAAATGTTGATTTGATGTTTAAAATTTCTAAATTTTAATATTAAATTTAAATTTATAAATACTTTTTATAAAATAAATATTTTAAAACTTTTAATATTTAACAGGCACTTTCAATCAATAATTCAACAATCATTCTGCCATTTGTTAAATAAACTAACAAATAAAAAAAATCTTATATTGAGAATTACTGAAAGAAACTAAAGACAAGAAGTTGTAAGAACTAAAAGATGTACTTGTTTTAGAGCTGCTCAAAAATTTTATACATAAAATTCTTTTAAATCTTTTTACAAAAGAATTTTTTCTTTCACATCTTTTTTACAAACCTAGATATCAAATATCATCTAAAAAAAATGAAAATAAAGTCTGAAATATCTAACACTTCTTTGTGTCTATAAAACACTTAATTTGAAAGAGATTTTAAATAGAATTTTTGAAACAAATTGCATTTGCATAAAAACAGATAAATAATATTTCTTTTAATTTCTGGAACCATTTAATTATTATTAACAAAATAAAATAAACTATAATAATATTTACTATTTATATAAGTTTTAAATTTATTATAATAATTCTTCAACAGCTTTGTAATGTAAACTGGCAGATGTAAAATTTCAATTTTTAGATAATACATAAAAAATATAGATATATTACATTTCTTTGCTCAGTCAAAAGTAAAAGTATTTGAATTTGTTGTGTAGCATTATCAATAAAAAAAAATATAATAGAATAAAAAAGTTCTTATCCAGCAATATATTTATCTGCATTTTTGCATATTTTGAGGTTTTAATATTGCATTGTTCTATTTCCCTATCTCTATTTTTACTTAAGTCCATTTTTATTCATCTCTGCTATCAACATCACTAGAGCAAGAAGAAATTTATTTGGCATATTCATCTGATTGATTGTTCTCCTTAAATTTTCAAAACATTTTTTTCAGCATACTGAAGTGGAGGTAGAGTAATACTGGCTAGTGATATATAATTCATTAAATGAAATAAATTATAATACACACAGATACACTCAACTAGTAAATTTAGTTTTTTTTTATCTTTTATCTTACAAATTAAGTTAGTAGTTAATTATCAATATAATTGTTAAATATGGAAAAGGTGATAGTTGGTCATCTAGATTTAAACTACTAATCTAGAAAACAACCAGTGTTGATTTAGTAATAGGTAAATATGAATTTAACAGTTTATATCTATCTATCTCTCTTTTTTAATCAATAGCATGATATATTTTTAGTGCATTTTTGTTATTTCATATCAGATTATTCAAATAAGAAATACAACTTGGTACAATGGTAAATACGAAGGTAAATTATCATTTTATTTAGGAAATGAATAGATCTAAACAGAAAATTTAAGCCATCAAGTTCAGCGATATTAAATTAACTCTTATTTTATTATATTCTGAAAATAGAAAATTACAGCACTTACTCTTATTATATAATTATATAATAATAGTTTATATTAGCTAATTTCTCCACAAGTGAAATATGACCTCAGTCTTTGTGAATTTATTTCTTAACTGATACTGATATATCAAAAGGAGAAAAGATATGAAAAATGTTTATTTTATAAACTAGCAGTAAATAAAATAAATTTTATGTAAATTCTTAAATATAAAATTGTAAATTAAAATTAAAAGATATTAAATTAACATGGTATAAAAGAAATTCACACACAACTTGATTACAGTAATTTATATAAATTTTAATTTTGAGAATTTTTTTCTTACTTAAAGTGAATAATTATATAATACTATCTCTTTTGTTGTCACTGTTATTGAGATTAAAACAAATTGTTTTTAATATATAATATACATAAATTTTTATAATTATGATTAATAAGTAACTTTTAACTTTATTTTCAAAGTTCATTAAATAACAGATTCTTATAAAATGACAAATGACTAAAGTTAGCATTATTGTTTATATTTTAATATCATTCAGACACTTAAATTCCTGAAATGATAATTTCTTAACAAAAATTTATAACAAGATAAATTAACTCAAAACAAAATCATGCATTTTTTACATTCTTCAATATGCAAGTTTCCAGTATACTATTAATAGTTATAGATAACTTTTACACAACTATGTACAGAAGGTATTCCCAACTTTTTTCATGGATTGACCTCTTTTAAGAAACATTTTCCCATTGACCCCTTTCAATATTATGTATTATATATATGCGTAATATCCCTCGTACATAATTCTTTAATTTATTTGAAAGCAACAACTTATGTACATTTTTAATACACATTTTATATTTGAAAAGAATTGACCCCCCCACTCAAATTTTCAACACTTAAAGGATTGATACCAACCCTATTGGAAAGCTCTAATTTATAATAACTTCACTACTCTTTACTGATTAGTAAGATTTATTTAATATAGTAAGAAACTATTCAACTATACCTGATTCTCATTGTATTTTTTCTTAATATTTTTGTGTATGTTTTGTTCAAACTGCTATTTTGATATCTTTTTACTTGAAAATTAAGAAATAATTTTAAAATTATTTCTAGTGCGAGATGGAGATACTGTTAAACATTACCGCATTCGACAGTTAGATGAAGGAGGTTTCTTTATAGCACGAAGAACAACATTTAGAACATTACAAGAATTAGTAGAACACTATAGTAAAAATGCTGATGGACTGTGTGTTAATCTTCGTAAACCTTGCATACAGGTAATCATTTTATAGTTTATGCAAGTATATAGTTCAGAAATTTAATTAATATATTAATTAATTTATTATTATTATCTATATACATTATTGAAAACATTTTAATAATCATAACATTATTTGATGAACATTATTCTACTAGAAACAATACATTAAATTTTGGAAAATTTTGAGAATAAAAAACGTTGCATGCATCATCTATCTTGATATTTCCTAGGCATGTATTTTAGTGCTTCTTAATAAATTGTTAACCATATGAGAATATTTTGATATTAATCTGGTCTGTCATTCCTGGCTAATCAATTAATATTTACCAGATTGAGTAAGATAACCCTAACAGATTGGAGAAAAATCAAGAAATTCAAAATCTGAGGGATATTCAAAAGCTCTACTTTTAAGTACATTCTTTTCAGTATGCATTTCTAACCTATTTAATTAATAATATAAAATTGAAAGTGATTGTCTATATGGATGATTAAATTATTAAGTCAAAACCCTTCAATTTTACAATCCAATCTTAATATATTATCATCAGTATTCTCCAAAGCTAATTTAAAAGTTAACCATATTCCGAAACCGTGTTGTATCTTTATATCTGTTTAAAAACTGCAATGTAGCACAGTAATCAACACACTTTTAATATTTAACAGGCACTTTCAATCAATAATTCAACAATCATTCTGCCATTTGTTAAATAAACTAACAAATAAAAAAAATCTTATATTGAGAATTACTGAAAGAAACTAAAGACAAGAAGTTGTAAGAACTAAAAGATGTACTTGTTTTAGAGCTGCTCAAAAATTTTATACATAAAATTCTTTTAAATCTTTTTACAAAAGAATTTTTTCTTTCACATCTTTTTTACAAACCTAGATATCAAATATCATCTAAAAAAAATGAAAATAAAGTCTGAAATATCTAACACTTCTTTGTGTCTATAAAACACTTAATTTGAAAGAGATTTTAAATAGAATTTTTGAAACAAATTGCATTTGCATAAAAACAGATAAATAATATTTCTTTTAATTTCTGGAACCATTTAATTATTATTAACAAAATAAAATAAACTATAATAATATTTACTATTTATATAAGTTTTAAATTTATTATAATAATTCTTCAACAGCTTTGTAATGTAAACTGGCAGATGTAAAATTTCAATTTTTAGATAATACATAAAAAATATAGATATATTACATTTCTTTGCTCAGTCAAAAGTAAAAGTATTTGAATTTGTTGTGTAGCATTATCAATAAAAAAAAATATAATAGAATAAAAAAGTTCTTATCCAGCAATATATTTATCTGCATTTTTGCATATTTTGAGGTTTTAATATTGCATTGTTCTATTTCCCTATCTCTATTTTTACTTAAGTCCATTTTTATTCATCTCTGCTATCAACATCACTAGAGCAAGAAGAAATTTATTTGGCATATTCATCTGATTGATTGTTCTCCTTAAATTTTCAAAACATTTTTTTCAGCATACTGAAGTGGAGGTAGAGTAATACTGGCTAGTGATATATAATTCATTAAATGAAATAAATTATAATACACACAGATACACTCAACTAGTAAATTTAGTTTTTTTTTATCTTTTATCTTACAAATTAAGTTAGTAGTTAATTATCAATATAATTGTTAAATATGGAAAAGGTGATAGTTGGTCATCTAGATTTAAACTACTAATCTAGAAAACAACCAGTGTTGATTTAGTAATAGGTAAATATGAATTTAACAGTTTATATCTATCTATCTCTCTTTTTTAATCAATAGCATGATATATTTTTAGTGCATTTTTGTTATTTCATATCAGATTATTCAAATAAGAAATACAACTTGGTACAATGGTAAATACGAAGGTAAATTATCATTTTATTTAGGAAATGAATAGATCTAAACAGAAAATTTAAGCCATCAAGTTCAGCGATATTAAATTAACTCTTATTTTATTATATTCTGAAAATAGAAAATTACAGCACTTACTCTTATTATATAATTATATAATAATAGTTTATATTAGCTAATTTCTCCACAAGTGAAATATGACCTCAGTCTTTGTGAATTTATTTCTTAACTGATACTGATATATCAAAAGGAGAAAAGATATGAAAAATGTTTATTTTATAAACTAGCAGTAAATAAAATAAATTTTATGTAAATTCTTAAATATAAAATTGTAAATTAAAATTAAAAGATATTAAATTAACATGGTATAAAAGAAATTCACACACAACTTGATTACAGTAATTTATATAAATTTTAATTTTGAGAATTTTTTTCTTACTTAAAGTGAATAATTATATAATACTATCTCTTTTGTTGTCACTGTTATNAATTTGTTTGTTTGCGTTTATATTTGTTAATTTTGATTAGATCTATTATATTATAAAGTGCATGTTTATTGTTATTATGGGGAGAATTCATTGTCATAACATTTACAATTATATGTAAAATAAATAACTCTAGTCTATTTATTTATTTAAAGTTTCTGATGCATTTAGCTGGAAGCTTAAAATTCCTAAATTTTCCAGAAGTTTAAGTAATTAAATAATTGTTAATATATTATGTAAATAATGGAAACTTTCAAGTAAATATGAAATGTTACAAACAAGACAGAAATGAAAAAAATTTCTATGTTTAGACTGAACATTTCATTCTTTTCCAATGACTAAAGTTAAATTTAAACCTAGAATATAAAATTCATGAAGTAGAAAGTTACCAAGGCCGTTCGACATTTTTTCCCCAGGGCTACGTTTAAATGCTTAAAATTTCAAATATAATTTTAGTTTTAAACTAAAATAACAAGACAATAGAATATTTGAGTAAATAAAATAAGTGTAATTTTAAGAACATTTTTATAACACAAAATTAGTTTTCTTTTTGTTATTTGAACTCATTGATAAAAATAGTTACACAGCAAGGTGTTGGAATTGAATGAAACTTTTTAATGGGAATCTATATTGATGATTATAAGTAATTTACAATATTATAATTAGCCCACTCTTGACACTTTGAGGGAATTCTGTATTTTATTTGCTAAAACATATCAATATATTAATTATTTCAGTAATTCTGTAGCTGATTGAATGGATGTGGCATGAATTGATTTTATTTTTTTCAATACTATGGTGTTAAATGTATAAACTTTACAATTTAAAAAAGATTAGATGTTAAATATTTGCATTAATGTGCTTATTGAAAGAACATCATTATTTAAATATTCTTAAATAATAATAATAATCTTTCAATAAAATAAGCACATTAGTGCAAATTTACATTAAATGAAAAACTTTCTATAAATAATATAAAATATTATTATATGCTTTGTTCAAATTGTGCAATGTAAACAGTATTTATCTAAATGCTTTCTGATTTAATTGTAAATCAGTTTTTAAAAAATTTTGAATTTTTAAATTAGTATTGAAGCATACTGCTATAATTTATTAAAGATAATTTGTATTCAAAGTGAGTCATACATTTTACTAAACTTTTCATTAGCTATTTTTATGTCTGATTTTAATTATACTATTAAAAGAATAATTAATATCATCATATGTTAAATCTTATAGTTTATGACTTGAATTCATATTGTGTTAATCTTCTTCCAATGTTACCACAAATTTAATATCACTATCACAACCTTAATTACAGAAATTATTTTCAAAGGTCCATTAATTGTGTTTTTCATATTGTTTGTTTTTCTATAAATTTAGATGTAATTTGAATGTTTTAAGTTGAAATTAGTGATTTATATCATTACATGCAAAATTAAGATACATGCAAAAATTATCATTATAATAATAATCATTATATACAGTACCTGTATTATCTTTATCTTTATTTTTGTCTGCTTTATCAATGGTGTATGTCTGTTTCATGCATAATTTTCTGAAAAATTTTTATATAAAATTAAAATGCATATTGTCTATTTCTGAATGAAAGTTTTAGACCTGACAACACACAAGTGAACCTTAAATATCTCCAACAACAAACTTTAATTAATATAAGCAAGAATATGGATAAATATTTTTGATCTGAGATCTGCATCAGATCTCATCAGTGTTCAAAATTGGAATGCAAGAAAACACATGGTTTTCAAATTTTGAATATATTCAAAAATATAAAAATTACATAATTGCACAAAAGATTGCCACACAAACAATTTTTATTTTCTTCAATCTTTCTATGACAATCTGGATTTACACAAATATACTAAGTTTCGTTATTTTATGTTATTTGTGTATTTTGTACAAGTGGAAGTATTTTTGTTGTTTTTAAACGATATTTGCAAATTATTGTAGAAGCCTAAAACTAATTTGTAGAATTGTGTAATTTTTATATATTATATATTTGATTATATTTGGAATTTGAAATACATTGTGTGTTTTCTTGCATTTCAATTTGGAACATCAGTGAGATCTGATGCAGATCTTATTTACAGATCAAAAATATTTTTCTGTACTTTTTCTTGTAATTAAGATGGTTTTTTAGGTTTTGACAATATTTTTATATTCAAGTATAATTCAAACACTTGAAAATGGAAACTTATTTTGTGGTATTATTTTAATGTAGTCTTTTTATTTTAATGTTTTTGCTTATAAAATATATTTTTACCATTGATTCGGTAGGGGGCGGAGTTTGATTAACTCGTTATTTAAATTTCCAATCGATAGGTATTATTTTAATTATAAAATATATTTTTTAAAATTGCTTTTGTACATATTCTTTATATGTAACTTGTGGGTCTGCTTTCTTTGTTCAGTTAATTTTGATTCATATAAACAGTAGTGATATCAAATTTCTGGCAAATATCCAGAACCACCAGATTTTAAATTTGAAAATATTCTATTCTATTTACTATATTTGAAAATGCTTTCTCATAGTAAATTCCTTGTATTTCTCAATTGACATTCTTATTGTAAAATAATTATGAATCAAAGAATAGAACAAAATATAGTTTGTGGAATTTTACTGTGATAATATTGATATCTATCTTACATCCTAAATTTAACAAACATATGAGGAATTATAACTATCAAAGAATATATATATATATACACACACCGGTGATTTCAATTCTCTAAAATCTTATTATGTCAAATTTTTATTTAGAAAACTTAATAGTTTTGTTAAATTATGCCATAAAATTAAAATATTTCTTTATTAATAGCATCTTCAAGAGCTCAATAAACATATCGGAGATACGCTTGATTATGATCTGTTACATCAAATTTTAATGTTTACCAAATTATTAAAATTATTATTGACTGTTATATTGTCTGTTAGAATAAGTTAACACTACGTATGTTATCATCTGTTTTGATCATTTTGATAATTATACAATTTGGAGTAATTATAATTTAAATATAGAAAAAAAAACTGGCAAAACAATGGACTAATCCAGGATTATGCAACCTATGGCATGTGTGCCAAATGTGGCATGTTGGATGATTTCAGTTGCACTCTGATTTGTATAGAAATGTAGTAATAATTTATATTTTAATTATTAATTACACATTTAAATGGAATTCATATTTTATTGTAGACCATGGTACATTAAAAATGAATCTCTTGCTTGTATATTTATATTATAATGCATGTGTTTACACTCTATGTTGCCATCTATGTATTGTGTATCTGCTTCACATGTAAGAACATAATTCAATTAATTCAACTTCAAAATTATATATTTTTGAAGTCCACAATTTTGATAATACATATAATAAAATTGTAGTCATATCTGCACCTGGAATAATACCATAACTTAGGTTCGGTATTAACACTGAAAGATTACCAACACTGGATTAGTCGGTTCAAACCTGCAATTCTTACTCAAATGCATTGCTCTGATAGAGAATGTTAGATGGCCCACATCTAACTTATCTTGATGTCAGATATCTTGTTCCAAGTTAGCCATGAAGGAAGCTTCCATTGTTTCAACATGTATAGTCCATCATGGTGTTGCATTCTACTTGGCTGTAGTGTGTGTATGTATCTTTTGTTAGCAAAGTGGTGTTATCTGTTATGTTAAAATCATTAAATTATAGAAATTAAATCTTTATAAACTATAATTTTTTGAACTAGGGATAGAAAATTTTCTTTCTTTCTGATTGTTTTATCTCTTCTTAATTTTTTATCATTTTAAATAAAATAAAATAGAAAAGTTCTATAATTATTTTTTAAAATGTCTGAAAAAAATTTCAGAAAAATGTATTTTAATATTTTAACAAATATGATTATGATTAAATTAAATTCAATGACTATTTAAACTTGAAAGTATTTTCATTACAATCAACTCAATTTTCTGTAAAAAATTTCCATTCTGAACTTTAATGTTCAAAATTTTAAGCAAAATTAACAAATATTTTTTTCTAAATTTCTGTTTACAGGATTTTTCACTTTCTAAAACTCTTGTAAAGAAACGTAAGCATTCCAAACTTCAAATAACACATTTAAAAGCATTCCAGAATGTTTAATTTGGTTGTTTTTCGAATTTATTGTAAAATTTTGTTTTGATGAGGTTATTTTCTGATGTTATTTCAAGTTTAGACCACACTTCTCGATTGTTTATTTTGGTTTGACCTAAAGCAATATTTGTGTTGATATAGAATTTGTTCAAAAAGAATAAGTAAGTTAATACACTTATTCCATATGCTGTAGAACAGGGGTGGCCAAACCGTGGCGCATGCGCCAAACTTGGCGCATTGGACGATTACAAGTGGCGCTTTAGTCAGTTCTGAGCAACATTGCCAGATTTGGCTTCTTTGCAATTAAGAATATTACATAGAAAATTAATTTTTTATAGTCTGTCTTGGCAAGTTCATTTGTTGCACAATTCGTTGCAATCAACTTTACAGATAAAATGAGTGTTCTCCACATAGTAAATTACAGTGTATGCATGTATGTTTATTTTCGATCAGTGCATAGGCGTCTAAATGACAGTGCTACCGTCCGGACAGTCCACGAGTCGGTTGGACTGCTACACCTGTTGACCTTTTTTTTTTTTTTGCTTCTACGATTCACGATACATTCGCAATCGTGTATGCCACTAATGTCAAATGGGACTATTTTGTACGGGTAACTACACCACCACCGCATTTTTTATTAATTTTTTTTTCACACAACTGAATTTTGATCTTTTAAATTGAAATACCTGATTAAAGGGTGGCCGAAATTTTTCTCCGCCCCGGGCGGCTAACACCCACGGTACGCCACTGCGCATCTGAACTCGTCTATCAAAAAATTGGCGCATGGTATGCAAAAGGTTGGCCACCCCTGCTGTAGAAGTTTTCGCTGAAAAACAATTTGGATTGTATTGGGATAAATACGATCTTAACAAAATAAAATATTTAATTACTGTTTTATAATATTGAAATCCTTAAGTATCATTTTAGATATTCTTCATAACTTTTTTATTATTTAACACTATTTTATTTATTAAAAAGTCTCTTAAAATTAGAGAAATTACTAGAATCTTTAATTAAAATTAGATATACAAATTAAATTGTTAGTGTAAATCACTCCAAATAATATTTTCACTTTCCATCAGAATTATTTAATGTTTTGACAAACATTTTTGAATTGCTCTACAGATCTTTCATGCTCACATATACATTAATGTATCTTTTGTTCTAATTCTGAAACATTAGAATATTCAAAATATGTTCACAATGATTATCAGCACAAAACCTTTCTCACTAATTTCTAGCCTTATTAACTGGAGTACAAACGTTTTCGGCCTTCTTAATAGGCCTTCCTTAGGAAATTAGTGAGAAAGGTTTTGTGCTGATAATCTTAGAAATAGTTCTAGCTACATATGCATAGTAGTTATGTTCACAATGATTTTTAAATTTAAAAATTTTAACATATTTTGAAATTTTTAAGAATTGTGGTTTTGTATGTCCCAAGTATGACATTACATAGCATGTGCTACTCAACCTCATTTACATACATACTTGCTAATAATTACTTGCATTTCTTTGCAATCTACTTCCAACAAGAGTCTTTCTAATATTTCCATAAATTTATTTGCTGCATTTTTTTTAATCCTTAATTGCAACTCTCTTTTTCTTTTGAGACATAACTATAGAAATTGTTTTAGTGCTGTTTTGAACAAAAGATAATCAAATTTACTAAAAAATTTAAATAAATATAATTTCATTAATTATTGTTTTATAAATTTGCCTGCTTTTTTTAACAAAAATTTAAAAAAAATTTTTAATTTTAAGCGTGTTAACATTGATTGACCTATCGAGCTACCTAGCTTGAAATCAAGGCCTGCAATCAGCAAAAATATTTAAGTGATGGCAAAACAGTTTAAAATATAAAGAAAATTATATTCTGATTTTTGATATTATATAAAATAATTTTAAATATTAAATATGTCTACGTATAATGATAAAACGACTTTCTCATTATAATTATGAAAGTTTTTGTTTATGATTCATAGATGATGCCATGATACATTAAATTTTTCAAATACAATTTGCATGATTCTAAGTAAAAATACTTGTTTGTGCCAAGTCTACTGCCTTTTTGAGTTTTAAAAATTGATTTTTCAAGACAAGTCAGTCCTGACGTTTGTAGCTCAAGTGAATGAATTCAAAAATTTGTTAACTTGTGACATGATATTTGTTTGGCTTGTTGCATCATTTGTGATTATCATTTAGTGATAAATATGATGGAATTGAAGCATTTATGAAACATGCCAATTGCGAGAAACATGAAAAAAGAAGTGCATCTTCTCATTTACCTTCAGTCATCATGTCTGCTGACAAATCAGTTTCTAAAGATGGCAACCCTAAATATAGTTCTTTGAGTAAAAGGAAATTAATAGCTGTAATTTCTTTAAGGGCATGTTGCAATATAAACTTTATCTGAAATAAGATTACACATTAGTTTTGTAGTACACAATAAAAGCATGCTTATCCACATGGAGAGTTTTTGGGTTTCTTTTGAAAGATTGATTCTGAATTTCCTAATTGTTTTCCATTCTTAAGCTTGATGTTTATTAATTAATGAATGTACAGTGCTCGAAATGTAAATCGTTAATTTTTCTAAACTAAAATAAACTTTAAAATGTATTCAAAATAATCTGAATCCGGAGAAATTTTGGTGTCATTCCATCATTAATTATAATTTAAAGGTTGCAAAAATATAAATTTTAAATGAAACTTTTTCCTAGATAGTTGAATATTAATGTTGCAATATTTTAGATTGAAAAACCAACTACCAGTGGATTGTCTCATAACACACGTGATCAATGGGAAATTGACAGAAATTCTCTTAAGTTTGTTCGTAAATTGGGACAAGGACAGTTTGGTGAAGTTTGGGAAGGTTTATGGAACAATACAACACCTGTAGCTATCAAGACACTCAAAACAGGTAATTTAAGAAGCTAATTTCTTTTGTGAAAAATTTTAAATTTAAATAGCAATGCAAAAATGTGAGTGTTCTTAGAAATTTTATTTTATAATCTGGAAATTGTTTTATCTCAGGTACAATGGATCCTAAGGACTTTTTAGCTGAAGCACAAATTATGAAAAAATTGAGACATTCCAAATTGGTTCAATTATATGCTGTATGCACATTAGAAGAACCTATATACATAATAACTGAACTAATGAAAAATGGCAGTCTGTTGGAGTATTTACAAGGTAAATGTATTGAATTTTTTTAATTGAAAAATTGGTAAAAATTTAAATTAATTTGACAAATTTTGGTAACTGATTAAATCTAAAATAAAAAGTTATTGGTTTCTCTTAACAATACTGCAAAATTATTATTATCTGCATTTATTTTGAATGTAGTTTCTATAATGATAATTGTACAAAATTTTAAAACTTCCAATTTTTTGGAGAGGCATTTGTTGTTTTTATGATCCTAAAGTAAGTTTCAGATGACTTTGTTTATATAGAATTTATATATATTTTGTTTTTGTTTTAATTGTAGCAATAACATAATTTTAAACTGAAATGATTATTTTAATTTCAAAATATTAGTTTAAAGTAGGTTATCAATAATAGTGTATTGGATAGTGTATGATACCGCTGACATCTGTGCATTGACTTTTACTCTGAAAACTAGACTGTTTCTCAAGAATGGAAGTTAAAGAAATTTATGTTGAAATATTTATAAGATTCTGAATCAGTTCATTTTGATGATCAAGATTTAAATTTTAACTAATTTTTATATTAAATATTAATAATTAAAATACTTAAATAAATTTTTGTATTTTTTTTAATGCTGTTGTCAAAAAAGTTCTTTTTAAACAATTGAAATTATAATGATAATTTCGTCATGATATTAATATTTTATTTAAGCTACATTGAATAAATTATCAATTAAATTAAATTAAATGATTAGTCAGATAAAATGTACTCTTTTTAAATGTGAACAAATTTGAAAAAGTAAGAAAAGAATGCCACTAAAGAGAAATACAAATGCTAAGAAGATCGACCAAATAAAAAGATCTGATTTCTGTAAATGTTTTTCAGGATCCAAAAAGTTTTAAATCATTAATTTGAATGAGAACATCTATATATTTTCATTTAGCATTTTGGAGGAATTTAAAAGCTAGAACAGTTTTCTTTTTTTTATCAAGACAAAAATTTTGATTTAAAACATTCCCATGTAAAATATCAGTTTTTAAAAGTAAATATCATTATTTTTGTAAAATAACATTTGTAACAGTAATATAGAGCAAAAGAATAAAAATGAAGTAAAATAAAAAGTAGTAATAAAAAATAAAATATAAGCAAAAATAAGATAAAATAAAAATAAACATAAATTCAAGCATTTTATATGATATTCAGGGCTGTGGAGTCGGAGTCGTGGAGTTTTGATGTTTTAGCCGGAGTCGGAGTCTTCAAAAAATCCGCTGACTCCGACTCCTTTTTACTTACCAACTTGTTATGTATATAAAACGGAAAAGTATTGGAATCGTGTCAAATTTGACCCTCCAAGTTTTTTTTTGCAAATCCACAAGTTTGGAGACCTCTCGAACCCCCTGAAAAAAGTCAATAAAGGGGAAAAATTTGCGCGCGCGTGTGTGTTGGCGTCTAATTTGTTTAATTTCTTTATTTTCTGTTCTGAGATATCAAACAATATCTCAGAACGGGTAAAGTTTAAGAAACGAAATGTGGCACTGTGGCTTGCGTATAAAGGGGCATTAATACTATTAAATTTTGGTTATTAATTAAAGGTCGACAGGGTGAAGACATAAAAGTGGCCATGTGTCATATCTCTTAATGAATATTTTACTTGTTTTTAGCGTTCAAAATTTAAAAAAATAAAATAAAACTCGTCTTTACCCTCAAAGTAAGCTTTTTTGTCATTTTATAATAGTACAGTAAAACCCGTTAAGATGTTGTCGCTTAAGATGTTAGAATGTATATGGGGACACGATTTAGTTCAACCACTTTGACTTAAATAACTAACTCCTGTGTTAAACCATCCAACTCGTATTCTGACCACTCTGACCACAGAAATTATTAGGCTTCAAACAGGATGAACAAAATCATGCCCCCCACACAGTCTAACATCCACACATATTGAAAAAAACCTCGAATCTTTTGTATATCTCAAAATTTCAAGGTGTCCCGAGTCCAAAAATGTAAAAATTTGGGAGGGGTCATTTTTTGACTGAGCGCTACACTTTTCCTCTGTTATACAGGCCTATAACAGCCGGAAAAGTAAAAACTATCGAATAAATATTTATATATTACTTAGAGAAGTCTTTTAGCTTTGGAATAAAAAGTTTCTATGCTCTATCTTTATTACAACTCTATTTATTGAATATTTTATTCTGATGATACGTGATGACATCAGAATTTCCGGGTCTCTTTCGGTAACAAGTCTGCTCCTAGTCGGAGTCGGATGGTAAGGAAAAGTCGGAGTTGGAGTCAGTAGATTTTTACACGACTCCACAGCCCTGGTGATATTATAAAGTCTTTAAGCTCAGTTTAAATCTTTAAGGGGTGATGAAAGTTCAGATTACCAAGGAATGAATAACATACCCTGATAATCCGAACTTTCCCAAAGAACTGTAGTTCCAAAAAATGTTAATTCAAATATAAAGCTTTAATTCCTATAATCTACTTAGCAGCTTTTTTCTCCTGATATTACATGGAGTTGACATATTCTGAAACTTGTTATCTAGCCAAATTAAGTCAGAAAGCCACCATGAAATTAATATGGAAGAAAGAACAACTTATTTTCTTGAACTAATGTAAATTGAATGAAGGGTGCCAACAAGCATTCACATAACTTGTCTCCTCTTAGACTCTTAGACTTCTTTAGCAAAGACTCTTGTCTTTGCTAAAGAAGTTTGTAATCTGGATGGACTACCTAGAAGCAAAAGATCTTAAAACTGGAAATCAGAAAAGAAAAACAGAGTTTAAACTTAGTGATTATCAAGCTAGATCAGACTGACACAATAAATGGGTTTAAATTTTAAATGATTTAATTGGAGACAGAAATAAGATAGATCTAGATATCTAAAGATAAAATGGATTTTTAAACATCGGATACCATCTGCTAATGTCTCTGAAAACTCCTTGAAGCTCAAGAAGGAATTATGGCTCCACAAAAAGTGTTTGAGCTACTCACCTGTGGCCACAAATATATAGCATCAGAAGGAGCAGATGCAAACATGATGAGGACATTAAATTAATTGATGAAATTAAATCTATGACCATACAAATAATTTGGGTCCTTACAAAATTATTCCTTTTTTAATAATTCAACTAGAGACAGATGGCTAACAACTTAAAAACTGATGAAATGACATTTAAAAAATACATACAATTCAATTGACGCCAACCTTTTCTTAGAGGATCCGATGCCAAAAACAAGCATTAAAATTCTTTACAATATCACTCAGGTAAAAATCAGTTGCATTTATATCCATCTGCAGACTGCTGGTGGAAAATTGGAACAGCTTCATAATTTGCATAATTTACATTAGTTACAAAGTTCCAAGGATAAATTTGTTGATTAAATTAAATCAACAAATTTATCCTTTGATTGTAACTAATGATAAGGACATGTTTGGAATTTGACAAAGCTTGTATGATGCTGGCAATGAGGTCCAACAGGCTACTAAATACACTCTATCAAATGAACTAAAGGAAGCTATACAAATAAAACTGTTACCTAGCAAATTCAGCTTTGACCAGGACACTTGGTGTCCTGGTTAAAAAAGAGAAAAAAAAATGGAGAGATGAGAACTAGATTATTACATTCTCAGACAAAGGGAACACACCAGCTATTACAAAAGGAACAGTAACTTTACAGCAGAGATGTTTGACTTTCCATGCAGTCTGATCTACAGCCTGTCCAATAACACCAAATTTTACATACTACAGAAAGCACATATAACATTAAAGTGGAATATACAAGATACCTATTACAGATAATAACAACAGTCTTTTTATCTGGATAGCACTTGCTGTAACCTTGCAACTAGATTAAAAACACAAGGAGGATTTAAAGAAAGGACATGTATTAATGGGCCTTTTGGTCCAACTAGCCAAAGATATATGACCAGCTAGCATGCTACCACCTGATAACAGGAAGCTGAGATCATCATATTGGATACAAGATTTCTTCCTATGAAAATGACTCTACAGCTTTTTATAGCAAAGGTACACACTCTACCTCTACTGAACAAATAAAGAGAAAGTAATGATGTGGACACATGGGTATAGTTATTTTCATCCTTTCACTTTTGTTTCATTATTATTAATCTTTATTTTATTTTTTTAGTTTATATTACTGTTACAAATGTTATTTTGCAAAATTGATGACTTTACCTTCAAAAAATCTGAAGCTGTTATGTAGATATTTGAAAACTTATAAAAACTGTTCCCACTTTTGAATTCCTCTAGAACACTCAACAGAAACATATATATTTTCTCATTCAAAGTTATGATTCAAACCTTTTTGGTCTGATGGGATAGAGAAGTCCTGAAAAACATTTATAGGAGTCAAACTTGTCATTAATTACTAATTTTTCTTTCAGTTAATTTTATCATCAATGAATTTCTTGTACCTTAAAATATGTGATTCTAATTTTTATATGAAAATTAAACATACCATATTTATGAATTTTTAATATGAACTAATATAATTTAGAATTAATCTTTAGTGATCAAAAACTTTTAATTGAATTTTTATAATAATTACTAAGTTTAGAAATGAAACCAAAGTGAAGTATGCTTTTAGTTAGGATTTCCAGTTCTAACACTACCATTTATCAAATTTGTTTTAGAAAAGACGTTTCTAAAACACTTTCTACATTGCATTCTTAATAAAACATTCTTCATCATTTTTGAAATGAGCTTCTTGCCAAGTACTGTATTTGAATTCTAGTGGTGTTTAGGATACACTTTCAGATTGGATGTGTTTGCTGTGGTGCAAGAGTCTGTTTATCTGACTTCTCTCCAAACAACCAAAAGAAATTTATGACTTTACAATGATTCACATAATAATTGAATTATTATTTATTTTCTAACTTATGGTTTTTATGATTAATATGAAATAAATTCTTACAGTATAATTTTAATATAATTTGTGATACATATTAATATAAGTTATGTATATTAGATAAATGTTTTCATTTTAATCTTGGAAATGGTTTCATTTTCAGGCAGGGGTCGTTCTTTAAAATTAGCTCAGCTGATCGACATGTCAGCTCAGATTGCAGCAGGAATGGCTTACCTTGAATCACAGAACTACATTCATAGAGATTTAGCTGCAAGAAATATTCTTGTTGGAGATAATAATATTGTTAAAATTGCTGACTTTGGATTAGCTAGACTTATTAAGGTAAATATTTATTATTAATTTTTTTTGATAAATATGAACAATTGATGTAATACTAACTGTTAATTCAGTTTGTGACACTTGTTGAAATACTTTTTAGAAACAAAAACAAATGATTTATCAGTTTAAATAAGTAATATATTGATTAAATTTGCATAATTTTGATATAAATTTTTTTTTTAAACGTTTTGAATTTTCAGTAAAATATACAGGAATATATATGATGCAAACTTTTTTATATTAAAATCATGATAAATTAATTTACATTTCCAATTTATAAATAAAATAATCCAGCGAAAATTTAAAACTTAAAAATAAAAATTTATCTTCAAGTAAATAGTGGCTAGTGAATATAGTCATCAATGATTTAACAAAACAATGTATTGATACATTAAAATAAAATTTATAACAATTGTTTATGTAATTCTTAAAATAAAAAGAATTACATAAAAAATTGTTATTTGTATAAATAGAATATCTTGAAATTTATTATATATTTGCTTATATTTTTATTATATTATATCGTGAGATACTTCCTGAATTCAAAAATTTGAAATGGAATATTTAATAGGCATGTTAGCTAACATTGTGGATGAGCAATTGTAAAGCAAGCTAACCTGGCCTACAATTATTTGTATCATCTTTTAAACATTAGTCATTACTCCAAAGAAATTAATGTTAAAAATACTGGTAGAAGAAAATACAGTGCAATCTTGGTAATCTGTCCATTCACTAATTTGATACATCCAGCAATTCAACACTAGTCAACTCTTGGGTATTATCATACTGTTGCCAACTTCCACTAGTTTAAATTCCAATTCCCACTATTTTTGAATAGCTTTTGACTAAATGTTGCATGATATCAGTCCTGAGCTTGAACACTCAAGTTCGGGCATGATATTAAAGATTGTTATGCTCAACATCTTAGGCTGATTAAAAAAGTACTCTATCTTATAACATGATACTGTATAAATATTGATATAAAAATCAATCCCCTGAAATTTCCTACTAAAAATACTGTATCTCCCACTAAATTTTCCTCAGTTGCTTTAATTTCCTAATAAATTTAAGTGGAATCCAGAATGAACTGGTGTAGAGAATTCAATCTTCTTCTGACAGTTAAGCATAAGTATAAGGACCTTGAATAAGTTCTCGCTGTTTTCCAACAGATGGCGTTACCAGAACCACATGTGTTTATTTTTAGATGGTGACGCATCTGTAAGGAAGTACAATAAGTGACTTTGAAATTCACTATACATCATTTCACCGAAGTGTAAACAACTTATTTTTTCATTGTGTTAAACATGTCTAGTTTCGTGCCAAAAAAAGAGTATTTGCGGGGAATTTTATTGCACTATTTTATTAAAAAAAAATCTGCAGCAGAAGCACACAGAATTCTTGTTGAGACTTACGGCGACCATGCTCTGTCGGAAACAACATACAGAGATTGGTTTAGATGCTTCAAAAATAATGATTTTGATGTTGAAGATAAAGAACGATCTGGTGCACCAAAACAGTTTGAAGACAAGGAATTAGAGGCATTACTTCATGAAGACTCATGTCAGACGCTAGCTGAACTTGCAGAATCATTAGGAGTTGATCACACAACAGTTTCGAAACGTTTAAAAGGATTAGGAATGATTCAAAAGCAAGGACATTGGGTGCCGTACGAGTTGAAGCCGAGAGATGTCGAACGCCGTCTTTTCACATGTGAACAGCTGCTTCAACGGCAGAAAAGGAAAGGTTTTCTGCATCGTATCGTGACGGGTGACGAAAAATGGATACACTACGATAACCCTAAGCGTAGAAAATCGTGGGGTAAGCCCGGTCATGCATCAACATCGTCAGCAAGGCCGAATATCCATGGTTTGAAGCTTCTGCTCTGCATTTGGTGGGATCAGCTAGGTGTAGTTTATTACGAGCTGCTCAAACCAAATGAAACTATCACGGGAGATCGCTATCGACTACAATTGATGCGTTTGAGCCAAGCATTGAAGGAAAAACGGCCGCTATATGAGCAGAGACACAACAAAGTGATTTTGCAACATGACAATGCTCAGCCACATGTTGCACAACCGGTGAAAACGTACTTGGAAACGCTTAAATGGGAAGTCCTACCCCACCCGCCATATTCACCAGACATCACCCCTTCCGATTATCACTTGTTCCGATCGATGTCACATGGCCTGGCTGAGCAGCACTTTCGTTCTTATGAAGATGCCAAAAAATGGGTTGATTCTTGGATAGCCTCAAAAAACGTGTCGTTTTTCCGACATGGAATTCAAATGCTGCCAGAACGATGGGAGAAAGTAGTGGCTAGTGATGGACAATACTTTCAGTGACATGTTTATTACGACTTTTTTTAAATAAAGTGTTAATTTTCACAAAAAAACAGCGAGAACTTATTCAAGGTCCTTATATTACCTTACCTTATTCATCTTCATTAAGACAGAATTCTTACTAGGTCTAGTTTTGATATGGTCCTGAACTTGTTTCTAACTCCTTCCAAACTCTGCCCACTTCAGGAGTTCTAAGTAAGTTCAGTTAACATACTTTTTTCATATGTTAAGAGTTGTGTGATGCCATCTTTCTGTTTCATGATTACTGTTGGCACCATTTATTTGAAAGATGGCTATCCATATTGATAAATATATGATTTTTTATGATTATGATTATTATTAATTCATTGTAACTAATTTTATCATTTTATGTCTTCCACTATTTTAAGGATCACTGGCTGATTCAGGGCACATTAAAAGATATTGGGGAACAGTTCTTCACTCTGCACTTCTATCCAATTAGATTCTTTACTTTTTTTGTTACTGAACATGACCCTAATTTAAGCAAATTAAGATAATACTTTAATAAAGTTAAGTGTGCTAAGTTCAGATTCAGTGCTACAAAGTTAAAATTTGACTAGTTTACATATTAGTACTGTACTTTTCATTTTTTTGTTATGGATTTCATCAAATATGGGTTGACATTGTTCTTTTTACCTCCATTGAAGATTTTAATATTCTAACGTTTTCGGCCGTCTTTTAGAGGCCCTCTTCAGGATGAAACATTAAAAAACAGTTCTATCTTTTGAAGGATTCTAATNAGTTCAGATTCAGTGCTACAAAGTTAAAATTTGACTAGTTTACATATTAGTACTGTACTTTTCATTTTTTTGTTATGGATTTCATCAAATATGGGTTGACATTGTTCTTGTTACCTCCATTGAAGCAGGAATATACAATGTCAGCCCATATATGTTAAGAAAATTCTATTCAATATGGAATTTTCTTGACAGTTATTATTGTGTAAATGTACTAAATTTAAGAGCATCCTCAAAAGCAAGATGGAAACTGCTATCTCATGATGATGATGATGATGATAAAAAAAAACAAACATTGAAGAGTATAAGTCAAATTGTTCTGAAAATTAGTTTTTTGCAATGTTAGAAAATGCAGTTACATCAATTATTTTTATTAAAAGCCAAACCTTAAGTTATTGATATTAAATTTTATCCAGAGATAATGATGATGATAGTATTATTTTGCATAATTTTATTTATTAAATTTAAAATTTTATTTTTATTCAAATATTACATAAGATTTTAATTTTTAAAATGATAAATACTTACTTATTAATACACAACTTTGATTTATTAATAATGTAAAAGCCATCGTGTGTGTGTGTGTGTGTGTGAATTCCTTAAAACTCCTGCAATATAAACATCTACCGAGAAACTCTATGCTTAGCAAATAGACACCCATGATTGCTGTAAATAATTGTGCTATAATTTGTATGATTTAGAAGTATTAATTATGAATTACAAATAAATTTGACACTAAATGGCAGCTAATGCCTCCTCCTAGTGCCAAATTTATTTGTAATTCATAATTAATATTTCCAAATTGCCTGATTATTTACGGCAATCATGGGTGACTAACTCCTGCAATTTTTGTCTAATCCAGATAAAACTTTGGTATGTTTCGATGGAAAGTATAGGCTACTTATTTTGCAGAAATATTAGCAATAGCATAAACATTTTATCAATTTTGGATTGGTGATCACACTTACATTGCAGTGACATCAGTGACCTCATTTAGTTTGTGCTTGACAACAGAATTTCCCTTAAGTTGCATTTTAAAATATTTTGGCAACTGTCATATTTTAAACTTCATTAAATTTAAGTTTTAAAAAAAGATAGCTGCATCATGTCATCTCAACAAATTTTTTAAAAAGTCTTTCCATAGTGACCACATGATGTTCTATTATCCAATCAGAAGTAACAATCAAATGTGCCTATAATTTAAAATGTATTATTGCACTTTAATTATGTTTTGATGGACAGTATAAGCTTGAATTTATGGAAATATTAGTTACTCTTCTTGAACTTCTTGAAATCTATATGCTTCTCAATTCTTCAATCTCTATTTTCTCATATTATATGTCTGTCAACTAGCTTCTTATCCTCTTTTTATTAGTTAGATCTCACTTATTCAATTAGATATAAAAATAGAAAAAAATGGCAAGAGTCACCAGTACTGTTTAATGTAAAACTTTGACATTAAAATTCTCTACGCATTAAAAGTTTTTTTAAAAAGGTTTAGGCTAATTATTGTAAATTATATTAATTACAATTTTTTAAAATATAAGTATAGAAGTATACTGTTTATTTAATAGTGGGTAATTGTCAACATTGAACCATAGTCTATAAATATATACAAAAATGTATGATTTTAGATATATAGTTTCAAGGATATTGTATTGTGTAAAACTCAGATAAGAAATCTAACTGAAGAGGGCACAGTAAAAAGTGCCAAAATGCATTTTAGGTGTCAGAGTTGAATGCTGTATATTATATTGGATAGTTTTACAATAAAATAATGGTCTTAAGTATCTTTGTGATTACCCCTAAAATAGTTGGATTATAACAGTAATTGAGAACTAACTCTGTTTTCTCATAGAAAGTAGTCTGTCATACTTGAAAGGAGAATTTCTAGTGCATATATGTATATATATTTAATATAATTCTTAATTTTTTTTAATCAGGAAGATGAATATGAGGCTAGAGTTGGTGCTCGCTTCCCAATCAAATGGACTGCACCAGAAGCTGCAAATTACAGTAAATTTTCTATAAAATCTGATGTATGGTCATTTGGTATCCTCCTAACAGAACTTGTCACATATGGCAGAATACCATATCCAGGTAATATTTTATTTTAACTAATTTTTTTATTTGATTTATTGAGAAAATTTCTAATACTTAAGCAAATTTCAGTTTGTTTTGAATATTATGTACTAATGAATGCCTAGTGTGCATTGACTTAGAAGCACTTCGGCACCTTGTAGAATCCATTGAATCCATGCCAAATCAAGTAAATGATGTAATTTGAGCTAAAGGTGGTCCAATGAAATATTAAACCTGCTGTTTCTAATTCATTGGCCAGTGAATGTATTTCTTGGTATGATGAAACTTCATTCTAGTTTTATAAAATATGAATCACTTCACTGAGATGATTTCAAAGGATTTCCTTGGAAATGTATTCTCTGCTCGTCTCAGTAAATCAAGTTGCCATTGGCTGGGCCCATCTAACAAGTTGACTGTGATCGTGGCATTAGTTTTAGTCAACTGCAGATAATAAGACATGTTAAATGTGAAAAAATGTTTAATTTCCATGTTACTATTCATTTATTTTCCATGCAAATTTTAAAAATGATTTCTATGTTTCTGATTTCAGCACACTAAACAAAAAATGAGGAAGAAGAATGAGCTCTTTGTACAGACAGCTGTAGCTAGATTGTTATTTTAGAAATAGTTATTATTAAGAATATAACACAGCAATCTATGCAAAATAAGTTTTTAGCTCTTTTTTGAGACATACTCATTTCCATTCATTGTGAAAATATATATTTTTCTGTAACAAGAAAGTTATTAAATTAAACAGTGTCATTTAATTAATTAATTAATTAATTTAAGAATAACATTCCAAATGGTAATGTTTATATTTATTTATTGGGCTACAATTTGAAAAAAATTAGACCCATAAATTTCCACTGTTGTCTGTCTTACTGTCTGTTCTTCCTTAATCTCAAGAACAGAGTTAGATAGATGAATGTCAAGAGTACCTGAAATTTAATGAAAACTGTACAGGTTTTGATACAAAATTATGAAAATTAAAATTTGTATGTTCAGTTCTTAATTTTTTTGAATAGTTACATGAGTAAAAATTACATTTGTTTTCAAGATGTTTGAGCATTTTTACAGTGAAATAAATAATTATAATAAGGGCAGGATTATCAAACAATAAAAGTTTAACAGTTTTTCTTTATACAAATGTTCTTGTTAAATCTTGGAGTTACTCCATCTTTTCAGATGTTTCATTTTGTTTTAAATTATTTTAAAAATTAGCAAAAAGAAAAACAGAAAATCCTTTCTTTCAAATGCTTCTTCATAATTATTTGTTAAGCATTTCCTCTTCTGTGAAGTATAATTCCAAAAATCTTTGGACATGTTTCAAATTGTAGTGGTGATCAGCATACGTGCAAGACTGAACCAAATACTAACTTGATTTACATGAAATGATACTGTTTATCTTGAGGGTTATAATTATATAAAATTGCATGTAATAGCAAAAAAACAAAACTATTAATTCAGACATGATGATAATACTAATTTGTCTTAGTTGTTACTAATTATGTTGAACCAAAATTGAAAAAATTTTTCTCTGGAAAATAAAAAATATGAAAGTTCCTTTAGACTTCCTTTGAAATTCTTCAGCCCAAGAAAAGTAATTTCAAAAGCTTTTATTTCATCCATCCAATAGTTCTGAATTTACTATTTATCAACATTCATACAAAGGAATAGAAATTTGTCTACTGAAACAGTCCAAATCAATGTGACAGTTATACAGGATACATTCCAAGGTCTCAAAATACTGGTAGAAATCTCTCCTGAATCTTCTTGTGCCACTGTTAATTATCTGTGGTTATTCTATCCAATCAAGATGTTCTTACAAGTAATATTAGATTCCTTTTCAGCAACTTCACCAAAGTGTATGAAATGACAGATTCCTTACTAGTCAGATTCTTACATTTATCTGACTGTTGCAAATGAAATCAAACATATTGAATATCTGACTCCTATATTTCAGTCTTTTAATAAAGAAATTATGAAATAAATCTTTAATTTCTAAATTATTTTTTAAAGTTAGGGTTAGTTTAGAACTAAGTTTTTTTTAAATTAATGTCCTTACACAAATTATAATGCAATGTTTGTACACATACAGATATTAGTTTCTGTTAATCAGATATTAAATTTGACTCCTGGTTTGATTGCCAGTTTCATTTGACAGATTTTAATAGGTTTTATTATTTAGGGAGAGTGGTTTATGAAGGTCTGTAGCATTGTTCTTTATTAAAATACATCATTTAAATGTCAAGTTGATGATGTGTATTTAATGGCCAGTAATTTATTACATCAAGTAATGTGTAATAAATTACTAGTCATTAAATAAACATTGGGTCATGGGGGAAAAAAACATTGATATGAATTAAATTAAGTTAAAATTACTAATAAACGATATATTTAATTTAATTGAAAATAATTATTTCTTGTTTGTAATTAATGTTGTAACTTAGTCTTTTGTGACTGTAGTTAATTATTTTTAAGCAGAATTTGGTTCTTGTAATGTATTTTCTTAACATCTATGATCTTTAAGATGTTTGTTAAAAAATCTAATAATCAGTAAGTCTTGAAGATTACATTATTCTCAAGTAGGAAATGTCCATTAAAAATACAAACACTTTTGATTATGTTTGTAATTGAATTCATCATTTATGAGATTACAAATAAATGCAGCAATAGATAATTTCTCAGGTAGTGAAAAATTGATTATATAGCTGTTAAAATAATCAAAAGTTACAGGTAAATTGAATATTTTTCTATAACTTGTTGCTCTTGCTTGATTCAATCCACAGCTAATCTTGTTCTACAAAGAAGCAAAGATTTTGTATTTTTTGTTTTACTGCAGCTTTTCACATAAGGTAGAGGAAAAATACAGCCATTGATTATACACTTGTTATATTTAATTATGATAATTTAGAATTTTTATTAAATTTGGTAGTGTGTGGAAAATCACAAGACTTAATATTCTCACTTATTGTAGGTGTAGGTGAATTACCATGTGGGGAAGAGACACAAAGATGCAATTTAACAATAAGTTTATATACACGACATAGATATAATTATATATATATATAAAATTGTATAAGTTCACAAGATGCAATTTCACGTGCACTTAAGATCTCACTGTTACAATACTATAGACAGATAGTTCAACACTCCGTAATTCAATTCGTCACAAGAACAAAGGAACCACAGTACAGAAGAATATTTCACAATGTATGACAATGTTTTTGTATATATATTCAGTGACACACATCACTTAATTAATGAATTAAAGGGAACTAAATATTATATGAAACCCACGTATAAATCTGAGACATAAAAATTGTTGATGGATCTTGATTCCGATTTGTACCTCACATACCTGAAAAACTGTCCTCGTAAAATGAATGCTGCACTACTACGTACCATTCACTGGTCTCAAGAAGAGCAAAAGAAAGAAAAAAAGCCCCATAGCCAGTTGACATCGCTTTAAATACCCCTTCTGTGCACTCAACAGGTTGCCAACCTTTTTTCCCCACTGCAGAAAAATAGCAAAATATATATATATATAAGACAGAAAGCTGCAACCACACAAGTGTATAGTATTTACACAAGAATAGTGGTGTATCCATAAGTCATTATAAATAAGTATGCTTAGAATTTTTTCACAGTAGATCTAAACACAATATTAATAAATGCAACTATTTTTAGCTCACAAGAGATATACCACATTTCTGTTTGTCCCCAAATATATCATTATAACAGATGCTTGGTTTTGAAACTTCTCTGGAGTAGACTGCTCTTTATTTTCTATGCAAAATAAGTTTTTAGCTCTTTTTTCAGACATACTCATTTCCATTCATTGTGAAAATATATATTTTTCTGTAACAAGAAAGTTATTAAATTAAACATTGTCATTTAATTAATTAATTTGAGCTAAAGGTGGTCCAATGAAATATTAAACCTGCTGTTTCTAATTCATTGGCCAGTGAATGTATTTCTTGGTATGATGAAACTTCATTCTAGTTTTATAAAATAATGTGGAAATAATGACATTAAAAAAATGTTGTTCAGAAAGAGATGGATGAAATATAGCAGACAACAGTTGAATAATCTAATAACAATTAGGGGCCAATTTCCATAGTCCTGAAAGGAATTTCTATGGAAATTGGCCCTGTTTGAGTGTTCCATGTAGACGGCCTAGTTGGTCAAGTGCTATCTCATGACCAACTACCTGTTTAGTAGTTTTTATCCAAAATCTGTTCCAATCAAGTTCCTAAATTAAAAATTACATTTTTTAGTTTTAAAATTTTTGTGTAGTAGTAAAGACTTGAGTAAAGATTATACGAAGTTTTGTGTGTAGAAACTGATAACTAGAAATAAAGTTACAACTAACAGTATGATAACCACTAAGAAACCTTTGTGCTTGAGTATGTTTTGATATTATTGATATAAACAAGATCTAATAACATTTCTACACTATAGTTGAAAAAATAAATATGTAAATGCAAAAATAAATTAAATACTTGACTGTTCTCCAGGCTATGTTTTCACTGGTTTTTTTTTCTTTTCTAAATTATTTTGGTGGAATTTTTGACTAAATAATTATTCTAAATTCTTACCTTTTATAGATCTTTTATTTATTTATAATGAATAATTTATATATGAATATTCTTTGCAGATTTTTGAAATTTGAATAAAAGAATTAATTTTATTTTAAATATTTTTGTTTACTTAGGAATGACAAATGCTGAAGTTCTTCATCAAGTAGAACATGGATATCGAATGCCATGTCCACCAGGTTGTCCACCTGCTCTGTACGAGATCATGCTGGAATGCTGGCATAAAGATCCCATGAAGAGGCCAACATTTGAAACTCTGCAATGGAAATTGGAAGACTTTTTTACCTTAGAAGGATCTGAATATAAAGAAGCATCAATTGCATATTAATAATTAATTTCAGATAATGTTAAATATAAAAAAAAAACAAGATGTTTATCAGTGTATGAATTTGGTACGTGAAAATCAAACATTTAATGTCACAAATACGAATGCTCAATTTGTTCTTCTGAAGTCGAAGATTTTGTTTATTCACTTCTGTATTTTTTGAATCTAGTAATTGTGTGTTTTTTTTTTTTGAAATTTCTTTCCAAAATTCATTTGCAATTTTTTTCTTATATATATATAAATTGTATTTTGTAATAATAACTTTTTTCTTATGCAGAGAAAGAGACTTTATTTTTTTATGTAAGATATTTTAATAATCATTCCTATTTTTAATGTTTTTTTATGAGGAATTTATTTAATTGTTCTTTTTCATATTGCTCGTTATTTTGTAGTATAATACATACGAGGAATTGTTGATAATTGTTAATGTGATTTTTGAAAACTAGAATACTGCCAGTATAAAAGAATTTTTTTATATATATAAAACAAGTTTGTCTTCTTCATTTTTTGACAAAGGCCCCGAATTTTCAGAAAGTGCATCTTTCTCTGGAAAAAAAAAAAAAACAGAAAATACAATCATGCTTTTTTAATTCCCTCGAGTACCTGATCTTCTGCATCTCTGTCTGCGTAAAATCTGTTATTTTGAATTTATATTTTACTTTATAACAATTCTTTATAGAATTTTTTTTGTATTTATACTGGAAGAGAAAGTTTAGAAAAACCGAAATGGATTTTCAAACAATTTTTCTGTATTGTAACAAATGTCTCGTTACATCATTCTGCTGTTTCTAAATTCTAGGTATCGTAAGTTTACACACTCAGAAATTTGTCATCAAACTATAACCGATGACAACGATGATAATATTGATGATTTTCCAAATAATCTTCTCTGAGTCTTCTTCTATACAGTACAGTGGCACTTTTTAGATTTAATATTTTCTTCATATTGTATACACTGCATATTATCACAAGTATGAAGGAAAACCAGTCGAAGTTGCACTTAGTCTACTTAGTACACAGTATCTAAATACAGATATATTAAATGTAATTCTATAAAATAAGTAGTAGTACTGTTAAGTTTACCATTCATTCACCTCATCTACTATAGTTCTTAGCAAATTCCGCTTTAAAATAGACCAAAAAAAAAAATGGTTACGCAGACTAATAGTCGAATTATTTGATATAAATCTTTTTCGACAGCTTTCCAATAGAACATTGAGTAACATATCAATATTTATACTTTTAAACATTTTTGTATTTGTGTTTTTCTTCGAACTGGTATTGTTAAATAAATGTTTCACTGTTGACAGAATATATCCACTCAAAGTAAAGAAAGAAATGTTTATAAAATTAAAAAATAAATAAAGTTACAATCATTCATGCATTTGTTAAATAAAAGAAAGGAAATTTCTATTAAAATGATAGAATCTAAAGTTATGGTACAGTTGAAACATTTTGATGATTGTTGCTTATTCTTGTAAATTATATACAATATATACATATATTATATATAAATATATATATATATTATGCCTGTGTGTACTTTAATAATTATTATAGCCAAATGTAAAAAAGATTTAAGATTTTATTGTTGTCCTAAAGTTGTAATTAGGATGATTTGTTATATACAGATATTTTTATTTCAGTTGCATTTCCATTTGTGATTGGAAAAAAAATAAGGTGATTTGTACAAAATGCTTAAAAAATTAATAATGCATTCTTTAGTAAATAGTTTGTTTTGTCATAATCATCATCATTTTAATAAGTGATGTTTAAATAAACATTTCATTCCAAAAGTAATAGCATCTTAAAATTTCTTTACATTTTTTACATTTAACTTAAACACCCAGGAAATTCTAATATTAAATTTTGTTGTTTTTAATTTATAAGAAAATATGTGCATTTTTGTTAAATATTTTAAATGAGAATGGCAGGGAAATTAACAAAAGTTGTGTGTTTGTGGACGGCTCTTACCGAGTAGCTACCTTAGTACGGCAACCGGGGACAAATATGAGTTAAAAATTCTGTTCGAAAACTGAGGTTTTTCTGTACTTTAAAACCATTTATTGTAACGATGTCACAATAAATAATTGCTTGTTCTAAGGGCGTACCCAGCGAGGGGCAGCCGCCCATTCTAGAAGAAAAAGTGTAGTAATTGACACAGCATATAGAGTAGACTTATCAATTTAGTATGAATCAAACTAATATGAGTTGCTTTTTGTCGAAAATTTCTGAAATCTTGCAGGAAGGTTTGTGTATTAGGTAGATTGATGCTGTTAAATTTTCGTGGTTAATTGTTGAGAGAGTGGAGAGATAAAAGGGTTCGTGTGTTATATCTCGAGTAGGGTCCAGATATAACAACACAATTACAATGCTGCTTTTTTTTTATGAAACCTATCTCCTTTGAAATTAAGACTATTATTGCCATTTTATAATAGATAGTTATATAAAAAGATTTTAATAAAATATTTTTTAAAACAGATGGCACTATCAAATGTTGCCGGGAAAGTTAAACAACTCGTTGCTGGATTTTTAAAGATTTTTCCGCCAATGTTAAAAACCAGTTTATCAAAAGGCTGACTGATCTTATTTTAATGTAATTTTAATTTAAATGCGGTTTTTTTCACTACGAATGTTTTTCAAATCATATTTTGCTGATTTTTGTTTATGAATTTTTTTATTTTCGTAACTCAAGTGTTAATAATGTCTAAAAATTAATCCAAAAATGCGCCAATTTAATATATTAATAACTATCGAATCTTTAAGCAGTTAGTATGAAATTTAATAAGTTTTATTAAATATAAAAATTTATATACAATCGTGAAAATTTCACGTACAAATGTAATTGTTGAAGTAATTATAATTGTGGTTTGAACACATATCGATTGCAAAGTGTGTTTGATTAATTAAAATTCAACGTAAAAATGGTTTATTCCCGTAGTGCATTATTCTGTGGTGAAATGCTTTTACTAGTAGTCTAGAACACCGGTGGAAATATAAGTTGCCTTGGCCAGTTATAGTCGTTTAAACAGATTTAATTAAACACGAGAACACTGCTTAATGCTTCATTTTCACTGTCGTTTTTAATCGAAGTGGGAGAACGTATCCGTTGAATCGTGTCGAAGTATCCGTTCATAAATTGGAATGGAAAGTTAAGTCCAGTTGATTAAGTCGTAGCCGGGTAAAAGGTCACTTCCTGGTAGCTGTGTCACATACGTGCAAGAAAGCCTCGGTAGAGAAGAGGCTTATTTTTACCAGCAGCAAAACAGCCTTTTCCACCAAGACCTTTTGTCTTTGTGGGAAAGCCGCCCATTTTCAAACGGGTCAAACGGGTGGAGTTACGACGACCCACCCGTTTGACGTCGGGTGGGTCGTCGTAAGTCCACCCGTAACACGGATGCTTCCGAAAGATTCGACTCCTCCTCCGCATCTTTCGGAAGCACCCGTATTACACGAGGCGAAGACGAGGTGCCATCCTCGGGCTCAGCACAGCCCGAAGTGTGCCACTTCTTCAATTCTTTGAAATTCTCCATTCTGCAAAGAAAAATGAGCGAATGCTGTGAAAACAGAATATTAATTAAGAAATATTCCTATTGTCTTAATATATTTCTTACTTACAATTTACAAGAAATTAATTTTTATGTTAAAATGCAATAAACATTTACGATAGAAGATTATAATTAAAACGATCGTTTTAATTATAATGAAAATTTCAAAGTCAGAAATGATTATTATGGTAAAATCTTTAATTATTAAATATAGTAATTTTAATCTTTTTCAACGATTTTTAATGTTCGATATATAATTTTAAAAATCGGTTTATACAAATTATCGATTGCTAGAACACAAAATATTTGTGAAAGTAGAGAAATTCTCATTAATCAAAGTACAGTATAGCGGAATGAATTTCATATGGGATAAACCATATAGCGGGGAATAACAATTTAATGTATTTATTAATTCCTATTTTGCTTTAACAATTCGATTGAATTTGGACTGAACAAAAATTAACAATAAAAAGAGTGAAAAGTGTCTTCTAAAATAAGTGGAAAGACCCCATTCGTCGTCTCTGTGACCAAACCGATCAATTGTTATCTAAATGGCGCTTTGTCGGAAGATCATTGCCACAAATTCTGATATTCGGCTTACCAATGTTCAAAAATACCCAAATTAGAAAGTTCGTGGTCTGAACTTACCAATCAAATCGCTGCAAATGATGCAAAACTCAAAAAAAAAAAAAAAAAAAAAAAAAAAAAAAAAAAAAAAAAAAAAAAAAAAAAAAAAAAAAAAAAAAANAAAAAAAAAAAAAAAAAAAAAAAAAAAAAAAAAAAAAAAAAAAAAAAAAAAAAAAACGCTCGAAAGCAATGACTTTTAATAGCACGAACCGAAAATCCAGCCGTTAATCGACCGCTCGCAACAAATTGTCAGAGTTTTATTGTTGCGTCGCCACGAAATTTAATGTGAAACGTTTGATTTTTCACCGAATTTCGTGATATTTCCGCCTCTCTGTGGCTGAAGAGACGGATTATCGCGGATCGTTCCTTGAATATACATTCACGTTAACAGTAATATGTATCCCCAGGATTTTTTCCGGGGGGTGGTCCGTTCGGATATATCGGGACCCGTCTCTCGCAACCCGGTCGCCCCATTGTGGGCCTGGCCGAACTCATAATGGGCCTGTTATAAGAGGTCCTCTTAGTGCCCACGGGGCGGAAAGGTATTAAAAAAAAAGACACTAGCAACGATCGGAATTTGTCTCATATTTTGAACAGGCTGCGTGCCCACTGACGGGTCAAGGAATCCCCCAGGAATTTTTCGGATATGTCGGGCCCCGTCCCTCACCACCCGGTCGCTCCATTGTGGGCTTAGCCGAACCCATAANTATATATATATATATAAAAGCAGTAATATTTATTCCAAAGTTTAATATTCTCGTGTTTCGTGTCCGTGTAAAGATGAATAAAAACTTCGATATTATGATGATCCTTCGAACCGATAAAAGAATAGACTACAAGTCTAGTAATCCCCCTTTTATCTATTTTGTTGTGATTGGAAACTTTATTCTAGATGTGTTAAGCTATGCGTTAGACAAAAGAAAAGAGGAAGTACACTGCTAATACAATTATATATTTATGTTAGTTTTCTAGGAGTGTGTTTTTTACGTTGCGTACACGTGTTTATTTAGTGATATACATTGCTAATTTCGTAATATATTTAACTGCAATTTGAAACAATTGTAGACCTATAACTGCGCGGTGTCATTTTTCTGTATATCAGTGGCGTGCCGTGACATTTGACTGGCGTCTAATTACAGAACAATTCCGTAGCCGTAGTTCTGGTTTTTACCACGAGATGTCGCTAGTGTCATGAGGTTCGTACAGCGTATACTTCGTACTGTACGGTGTGCTTGGAATTTTTTGTCGATATTTTAGCTTTAAAACCACACTTTATCATCGATAATTGGTTGAGAAGTATTCCCGCTACGTTTCTAAGAAATCGTTATGGAAAATATTGCGTTGGCTATATTAGAAAATACTCGTTGTTATCGCGATAAGCGCTTCTCCTCAAAAGAAAATCTTACTAATAAGCATGTAGGTTTAGACATAAGAAAATGCTGGTGGAGGAAAAATCTATATTCTGTCGTGAAACTTCATGTTCTGAAGGATTTTCTACTTTCCTTCGATTACGTGAGCATCTGGAGAAAGTATTGTACCTGTACACGGATTTGCCTGTGAAATTGAGAAACTGGAATTCAAAACTATGAAGGGTAAGTAAATTCTCTTCTGAAATTTTAAAAATGCTGTATTTAATTAATATATCTTAAAATAATTGTTTTCGTGAATATTAACAGTTCATTCAGTTGTAAATAAAAATATTATGTACTGTATTTGACAGATTTCTACGAATGGAAAGCCACAGATAAATTGAGAACCAACAAAAGTTAACTGTGTCGTACTGTCTAAAAATTCGTGGAATTTATAAATTCTACTCGTGCGGTTCTGGCACATGGTATCGTGACTACGCTCGATTCAGAAATATACCTACAAAAAGAAAACATTCAATAACAGATTGTGTATATAAAAATGCTGCAAATGTATATAATTTTCAATAAATCCTTTTCATATAGAAAACATCTTTCTTACGAATAGCATTTTTTTTAGCTGATGTTCAAAAAAATCATCGCGATCTGTTAAATCAGGCTACAAAAAGTTCATTAATATTTTACTGATTATGATAATTTGTGATGGATTTAAACTACCGATTCAAAAGACTTTACTGAAATTATACAAGATACACTTAACTCTTGGTATTCGCTAGGGTTAGTTTTTTTAAAATTTCGTGAAAACTAAATAAGGATTGTCTATGGAGAAAATTGAGTTTGGTTTTGTGGAACATTTCGAAGTTAAACGTTCATCTATATCTATATCTATATATATAAAAATGGACGTGTGTGTCCCTATATTTCACTTTTCCGCAAAAACTACACATCGCACGTGAATGGTGTTTGTATGTGGTGGTAGCCCCAAGTCTCCATTCGTGCATACGGGTGGTTGCGTTTCGATAGCTATAAGGGTGCGGGAGATATGAGGCTGAAAGTGGTTGAAAGTGGCTTTCTATTTCGAATGTTATGTTCGAATTTGTTCGATTTTAATTCGAACAATATTCGAATTAAATTCGAACATAAAATTCGAATGTTGGTTCGATTATAGAACGATTGTAAACGTTCCAGAAACGTTGAAAATAGTTCGTTTGACTTGACGTGAATAGGAGACGTTCAGAAATAGAATCGGGACCAGATCTCTAATTAGTCTGGAAACGGGGGACCTAATTCTTGCATTCTGTGAAAACGGGTACGATTGGCTATAATGTAATTATCTTAATCTTCACTATCGTTACTTTTTTTCCAGCGAAGCGGGTCCTTGCAGCTAGATTCTAGATTACTTAGAAAAACATTCTTTTATATATAACAAAACTATATTACATACAAATAAAAACCCAGTGAAGCGGGTCCTTGCAGCTAGTAATAAAATATTGTGCGATTATTTTCATATATTTAAAATTAATATGTATTTATTTTTTAGAAAATACAAGGGAAGCGGCGCATCCACCTCTTCTAATGACGGCACGCCACTGCTGTATATCAGTGTGTCTATGCTCAAACTCGAGAAATGACTAAGATAGATGGAAGACGAAACCACTCATGAAAAACGTAGCTTTGAAACAAGAAGCTTTGATTAGCTTCTTGTTTCAAAATATAGCTTCCGCTGTAAACCGCAAGTTAATTATTTCAATCCGAAATTTTTTTCCTGAAAGGAGTTAGACAACGACTCAATTGCTATCAGGAAAAAGTATGATATACAGGAGAAAGCCACTAGTAATTTGAAGTGGGGGGCATATATTTTAAATTAAATTGATTAAAAATATGATTAAAAATTGCAGAATGTGAATTGTGATGATGTCACAATAAATAATTGCTGGTATATTGAACACTCCATTCTCGCGACTTTAAAAAATTTATCTTCAGATTGAAAATATTTTGATGGCATCGCGAGTAGTAATTTCCTGGCATGTTGGTTATTTTGTCGTTATAGCAGGCTGTTGAACAATACTGCTAAACATTAAACAGGCTGCCCGAGTCGGTCTGTACGCCGGTAAAAAAGTTCAATAGGTGGTTCAATGGTAAAATACTTCGGATGGGAATCGGTGCTTATTTTTCGATTCGCCTAGTCGAATTCATTTTTATATTAGTTTTCTAGGAGTATATTTTTTATGTTGCGTACACATGTTTATTTCGTGATAATACATTGCTAATTTCATGAGAAGGTTCTTAAGCTTAGATATTTAACTGCAATTTGAAAGACAGATTACTGAACAATGGTAGTTAGTCGCGGATTAGTGCCTCGCCAACGGGTTTGCACGTGATGTTTTCCGGGTTTTCTTCTTGTTAGTAACATTTAAATAGAGGCCAGTTCCAATAAAAGACCTCCCGGAAGGCATTCGAGTCCGGATGAGTCGAAAACTCTGAGGAATTTTTTGGTGGATGGTTCGTCCAGATATGTCGGGTCTTGTCCTTTTCCATTCGGCCCTTCATTGTGGGCCTGGCCGAACTCGTATTGGGTTTACTAAGAAAAAAGCCCTTGTTAGTGCCCACAACGCAAAAAGAGTAACTTTAAGAGGAAAAACAAATTTGTTTTTGATTTTATGTAATTAGATTTAATCTTTTCTAAATGATTCTTGGCATGATGATGTTGATGACAATGTTCTCGACTTATACTTTTCAGAATCATTTTAATATATTTAACAAATCTGAAAAAATGCCTTTATTGGTAATTTAAATTCTACATTTCGTTATGTTTATCGGGCTTCGAAATGGGGAAGATTGAGGGGATGGGGTTATTAAATTTAAACTTATATTTTAAAATTTAAATTATTCTTTAATTATAATAATGTTTTAAAAAATTATTAAATAATGTATTAAAAATATAAGCGCGACCTGTTAAACAATCCTTTATAAAAATATAGGATAAAATGGATGGAACACTCAGAAAGTAATGAACATGCTTATTGATAGCATATGTTTATGGAGGATAAATTAGGGGAGCGAAATTAAGGCGATTTATATGTAGCATTGTATTGATAAAAACTGATATGATGAGCAGTTTAATGTTAAAAAGTCTAATATCGAAGGTCTGATGGTCAGGGCGGTTAAGACATCAGAGGGCCCCGGATCAAATATGACTGAGCAATCCCAAAAATTTTTCATGGAAGGTCTGTTCTGGCTACGTCGGTTCCCTTATCCCCACTACCCAGTCGCTCCCATTATAGACTTGATCGAACCCACAATGGTTTTGCTTTCATTTGACCCTTCCTGCTCTGGAGGTACTAAGAGAGCCTTTTTCCAAACCTATTGTGGGTCGGGCTAGGCCCGCAATGAGAATGACAACGCAAAGATAAAAGCCTGACAGAACGATCAGAAAAAATCTCTGGATAGTTGCTCGTTAGATTCAATTCCAGCTCTCCCAAATCGAAAGTCTGAAGAGTTAGCTGCCTCGGGCATTCGTCCATCATACACAATCTACGAAAAAAAGACCCTTCTAACATCACAAGGTAGAAAGAGCTAAAAATAAAAAAAGGCTTTCACGTGGATATGAAACAGCCGTGTAATTGGGACGAAATCTGACATATTATAATTGATTCGTTATGAAAATTTCTGAACCGATTCAGGTATTTATTTATTCTCGAATTATTTGTGTGGCAACATGAATATATTGAGAATGTAACACGGTGTAAACTAGTTCAGTAAAACCATTCACTGAGGAATTTCGTTCCACATGATAAACTATGGGACAATCAGCATATTATGGCCAAGTACTTCGGACTGGAATGCTCCAGAGTTACAGCTAGAGCCTTTATTATTTCGTACTATCAACAACTTTTATTGATATGAATTGTGCCTTAATTCATGACATAAAAGAAGAGTTTTAAAAAGTTTTTTTATTTTCAAAAAGTATCAATTTCTATATAAAATCTATATTTAAACAAGACTCAAACTATTAAGATATACAATAAGATAGAGTATTGAACATATTATTCTTCTGAAATTTAGAATATTTAAACAAAAATGGCACATTCAGTTAATGGCAGCAATAATAAGTTAAAATAATAGATTTAAATCCGAATTAATTATATATTTTTAAACAAATGAAATAATATTTTTTTCTCAATGTAAATCATAAAAACATATGTTTATACTATTTTAATATTAAAAAAAAATTAAAATAAACAATGATGATATTTTATAAATGCGTTGTTTTGGGGATGGATGAATTTACAGGGCATTCTTCGTATGTAAGTGTAGCTGAATCATCTTTTGTCGTTGTTTGATTATGAGATTCGGTTATGTAAGGGTGACTGGCATTATCATACATAGACTGTAAGTCTCTGACTGTCATTTCAGTTAAATTCGGTGCACCCATCTGCCCAATAGGCCTCAAGCTGACGTTAACGGCATCCAATGCGATAGAAGTAGCCATTTTATATATTCTGGGAATAAAAACCGATACTAACACAACAGTAGCGGATGCTACAACTCCTAGGCAAAGACAGGGATCCCTCCAACTGTTAGGAAAAATAAAAGAAAGAGACAACCACGTTACCCATACACACAACGTCAAGACACTAGCAATCTGAAAAGTAAGTCCTTCTCTATAATTTCGGCGACTTCGAACACAGAATGGTGAGATTAATAACCAAAAGAACAGCAATAATGCCGGATACGATATTGAGATGAAAATAATTTGTCTAGATGCTGTACACTGAGGAGGTACTGACTGAAAATGATTTCCGCAGTTAAGCCACCAATACTGAGCGGATAAACCAGCTTGAACTCCAACTGCGAATAAATAAAGCGACGATTGAATTAATCCACTGATATGTCCGGGTAATCCACCTGTATCTGAAGTGGCCAACATTAAACATCGAGCTAATATGGGTGCAAATAATGTGGTGTAAGCTGTGCCTATCAATAAACGCGTGGCACATATACTTTCTGAAGGATCAAAGCCGTAAGGTAAGATAGACGCATAACAGCAGATGATACCTAAAAGAATACATAATGCAAATCCTTGATTTCCTTCTATCGTGTCTCTTCGACAAATTCGAATCATAATGTAACAAGCAAAGGCCAGAGCCATAACTGTTCCAGTACAAGACACCGTTACACAAATTGTAATCCACGTTTTACTCCTCCAAGACAGATGCGAGCCTTTTGAATAAATCGAAGATAAATAATTTGCACATGCACAGTCTTCGGTGCATTGAAAATCTGGAATTTTATACCATCCAGCACCCATTGGTTGAAGTATATTCATTGTTTGCGAATCTATTTGCAGTTCTCTTCGTAGAAATCTTCCAACCTAAAAATTAAAAAGAAAAAAATCAAAAGAATAAAAGTCCAAATCAAAAGAATTTAATTTAAATGGCACCTACCTCTACGAAATTGAAGTAAGAAGCAGAATTTGGTTGATAAGACCACAGAGTAATTGTTTTCTCGTCTGTAATAACTTCTTTTATAATATTTATATTACCGATATCGAAAGCCATTGAAGGAACAATTTTCCAAAACTTTCTTTCGAACTGCTTCTTTAACGAAGTGCACATAGTCCAACTCGAACCACAATACTGTTCTTGTAAATTTTTCAATGTATCTGCCAATTTTAAAATAGTCTTTAGGACAGAATCAATAGCAGAATCTAATATGTGCATTTGCAATAAGCGACAAAGTGGATTTCTTGACATCGAAGCATTCAATCTGCAATCAGTGGTAAGGGACGTATATTCGTCCATAACTTTTTGACCTTTAGGAGACAATGGCACATCTTTTCGAATCAATGAAGTTGTTATGAGTGGATAATTATTTTCATAAGGTTGAGCAATAATCATAGCCGATACTGAGCTTGCAATATCTAAATTTGAGAGAGTTGACGAATGCACAAGTGGTCCAGCTACTAGCCAATATAAACGAGTGAGATTATAAAGTTTGGCAGTTCTCAAAGATTCCAGAAAGTCATTCTCAGTAACTAGAAGCACTAAGACTTTTACTCTCATCTTTTCGATCAGTCGAAACAGGTGATTGAATTTTGTTATATCACTAAAAATATAAAAATTTAGACATTACTAAAATATTCAAAACAATCTAACTTTAAATTTAATCTAATTAAAATGAAATTTCAATTAATAACTATTGCATTGTCTTAATTATGAAGCTCTATTGAAGCGATGATACTACATTTCTAATAGGACACGCTACAGTATTTTGTCCTCGGTTAATAAGCATCTCAAAAGGATTCGTATTATTTGCTTATTTATTATGCCTGAATAATACCCATCACTTTCTTTAAGGATAGGTTTAAGACATTTTGATTTTATGCTGCACAACTAATAGTGGGAGGAATGAAAGACCCTAGCCCTCGAGTATCACTAATAGCTCCAGAGCATGAGGAAAAACAAGAGTTAATCAAGTGAGATCACTTAACATACTAAATAGATAATTTTATTTTCTTTTGTAGGTTAGCACAACTTCGTTCTAGCTACGTAATTCACCGCATTGTTACAAAAACAATAAGTTAGTTATGCATATATTTCTATAAACAATGAAGACAGTGTGCTATAATTTTATCCTATTCACCTTTTGTATTGATTATTTGAATAATTAAGCAATGTAATTTCTATTCTGAAATTATCATTCAACATTTAATTTAGAAAATTTTGATAAATTTATTGTTTTCTGTGAAATTTACAATTATATAATAAGTAAGAAAACAGAATAGAAACTAATTCGGATTTTCAAATACAGATTACATAATAACAATACCATTCCATAATCAGTGCCACCGTATACCTTGCAACTATGGGAGCAGTCGTTACTCTACAGGCGAAAGTTCGTATTGCAATTTACAATTGATATATAACCTGCTCCATTATATAACGCTTTAAAATTCTTTTAAACACAGATAACCCTCGGATAAATCACACAATAATGGTGCCGATATGCAAAATAATTTTTTACATCTTCTCATAGGAAAAGAGTTAGAAAGACCATTCATGCATTACGTTGGCTATTTATGAGAAAGTATTTTGTTTATATCTGACAATTGCTGATGAGGAGGAAGAAGGGTGAATCTTTGATGGCACAAGATTGCATCCATTGTTTATTTTTCAGTTTATAAATAACAAAAGTATTTGAAAAAACCAATTTGATGTTTATAATGGGCAATTGCCAGGTAAAGCGACTTTAATACAGCTGGATAAGCAATCTAATAACGTAGTCCGTTTCAATTAAAACGGTGAGAAACTCCGGAACTATTTCTCAAAACAATACCAAATATCAACATTCCCTTTTATTAGAAATGGCTAAAAGCTCATAGTATTGATATTTACATCAATTATGTAATATTATTTGAATAAATTTATCTCGTTCAAGAGATATTTCTATTATCTACAAGTGAGTAATTTACATATAATGCAAACAAAGTAAATAAAAGAATTTATTTCTTTAATTATATAGCAAACACACACACACACACACTATATGAACAATGTAATAAAATATAATAGAATGAATAATAAAAAAATGTTTTTATATTTCATATTGTTAAATATTTACCACTCATAATAACTATATTAACTGACTTACTATAACATTTTAAAAATAATTTAGCTTTATTAATAATATTTTAAATCGATCTCCATACTTTATTATGGCGATCGATTAAATTTCCCCCCCCCCAAATTTTTACATTTTTGGACTCAGGAGACCTTAAAGCGTAGAGAAATGCAAGAAAAAAAAAACAGTTGGGGAGTTTTCTGTATGTATGTATATTACTGTGTGGGGGGCAGGATTTTATTCGCCCAATTTGAAGTTTAATAACTCCTGTGTTTTTTGTCAAAAATTTTTAAAATTTTGCATGGAGGTTTATGTATTAAGGGCATTGATGCTGTAAAATTTTGGTAGCTAAAGGCCGAGGGGATGGGAAAATAAAAGGGTCATGAGTCATATCTCGAATGGGGTAGCCTAACACTTAGTCAATAATAATAATAATACAAATTGTTTTTTAAGACACCACGAAGTGTTGATATTAGATACTAGACTTTTTCACATACACTTTATTCTCCTATGTGCTTTACAGTCTTTAAACCAATACGCGTTTCGGGCTGGTGCCCCTCATCTAATAATAATGCACGTTCTATATAGCGATTTCTATTTTATTGTCGACACGCATAAAACCAAATCCACTGTGTACTTGATGTAACTTTTCATTCTTAAAAATTTTTACGAGTGAAAAGTTACATCGAACACTGCGGATTTGGTTTTTATGCACGTCGACAATAAAATAGAAATCGCTGTAAAGAACGTGCATCATCCACCAACCCTAAACGTAGACGTTACTACCTTAAAAACCAAATAAAATTTTACATAAAAATGCATGAAACAAATTGAACATCAATTTAAATTCTTTATTTTGTGAATTATTTTATAAAAATAGAACATTGTTCAATGATATTCATTATATTTTTAATGAAAAAAATAAAAAAATAATACTGTCTACGAGAATTTCCTTTACAGAAAATGAATTGACATAAATAATAATTGAAGTGTTTTTAATTTAGAAAAATTGTAACTACATTTTCCTTTATAATTTCCCTGTATATAAATTACTTTCAATTTTCCCAAATAATCGCGCAATAGTCATTTCCGGTAATATGACCTTCGTATATGACACGCAATAACAGTTATGACACATCTTACTCTATTCTCACAGGGCTCTGATAATCCAGATACACGTTATGCCATTTATTATATCATTATTTAAGTAAATATATCTTTGTTTTTATAATTAATACGCTTTAAAGGTGTTATTTATTTAAATTTTTGTATGATTATTTAATGATAAACATGTTATGCGTCGTTTTCAATTTCGTGAATTTCGTTATCAAGGCTGTGATGAAAATATGTAAATTTGTGCCATAATTTTATGGAAAAAAATATGCCAAGATAATGTGTAATAAGAATAGTATTTTAAGTTGTAGAAGCCCTAGGCATGGGTGGAGTAGGCGAGGACTTTTTTATGTAAGTTTATGTAATGTAACAAGATGCAGAATATATTACACAAGATTGGTCAAGAATAAGTATCCACGCCCACCAGAAACCGAGTGGATAAAACCGCTGAACAATGGTAGTTGGTAGCGGTTTCGCGCCTGGCCAACGGGGAGTTTTCTAGATTTTCTACACGTTAACAATATCTGAATTTCTCTTAGAAAGTCCTCCCGGACGACATCTCCCATTGGCAGATCGCCCACGTGTCACGTGGACGTAAACAAATCAAATCAAACAACTATCCACAAGCATATGTTTGTATATGTTTGATGCTCTTAAAAGAGTAGGTCCTAAGAAAAAAATATATATTATCTACGTCTACAACAACCACTGTATACCAGAGTATACAGATAAAAAATCCTACAATTCAGAATCGGAAATATCGACAAGATACAGCAAAGTAAACTGCCTGGGCGAACTGCCGAGGAGGAATTCCTCCGGGAAAACTTTCTATGGAAAACTGACACTTATTTGCGTGTTAGACACGTGAAGAAAACCGGTAAACTCCACGCGACCAGGCAATTGGTCAGGTTCAAACCCACGACCAACCACTAATATTCAGTGTTTTATCCCCTTGGCTAGAAGAAAGATTTGTATACTAAAATTAATGTATATAATACATATGAAATATACAGGAATATCACTAATTTTCCAGTACATTTAGTTCCAAAGTCTTACGGAGTAAAAGATTTTACAGGTACAAACAGCTAGAGCCACCAAAAATTCTTAATGAAATGCACAGTTTGAATTATGAAATGGCAAACAAATGAAACAAAATATTACTTGAAGAAGCAAAATTGTAAAATTCACAGGTGGCATTTGTGTAAATCTGCTCTGCACACCAATGTAGCCATTCAGTATACTTGTGTGAACGTTTTAAAATGTATTCTTAATTCTACCAGGAATCAAAGAGATGTCGGAAAATCATCGGTGCATTGTACTTAATTACATTACTGGATCTAATTAGTATTTAAGAATTCGTACAAAAATAAATGTTTTTAACTTACTGTTCATCAACTACTTCAGATGCTGCGACACAAATTCGTGCAGTGACGGCCCTCTGATGAAAATACGTGCGCATACTTTCACTACTCGATAACAGTGCCACTTTTTTCCATTCCAAATGAGAAAGTACCGAAATCAGTGCCTAATTAAAGAATTCATTAAGATCTACTCTCAATGAAACTTTTTTACGAATGTAAATTAGAATACTTTACCTGAATTTCGTACTTGAGTGATGTTAATTGGAAAGGCATATGTGTTATTGTTAAATGGCGTAGAAAATCGGAAACGGATGTTTTGGCAGGATTCAATAAAGGACCGATAAATCCTGTAATTATAACATATGATAATTATTTTTGATTAATTTTAATAATTTATTTTATTGACTCACCCAAAATATATTGTGATCTGCATTCTTCCTTCTCCAAGTAACTACTTTCTGAAAGGCCATGCACTGTTAACCTCAGAGTATTTTGAGTATCAATACACGTATCGTAGGCATTAAGACCTAAAGTATAGCAAATATATTTCATTATATCTACTATACTTATATAAAATAATTCTTAAAAAAATACAGCATATAAATTATCTTCTAATGTTATGAAGAAAATGCAGTGTGGTCCAAAAATCAGTTGACCGTGTTTTGTATTTTACACTTATACTTGAGAATCTGAACTGTAAATTTAATCTAGATTAGTCTTATTCGTATGGCAACGCAACACTTGGGCGATCTGCCGAGGGGTGACCCTCGGGAGGTCTTTTAGGGAAACTAGCCCCTATTTAGGTATTGCTTTGAAGAAAATCCGGAAAATTTCACATGGTCAAGCGCGAACTCCCGATTAGTGTTTAGTGGTATTATTCACTCGGCCGCTGGTGGACTTTTACAGTTAAGTTTTAAAATACTTAACTGACTTTTGGGCCACCTTGTATGTTGAAATCTAATAAAGTTTAATAAATATTATTGTTAAATTGAGCACGTTTTGTATTAACTAAACGATCGAGTCAGCCATTTTTCTGCGTTTAACTGAATCTTGATGAGGCTTATTTGTGAATTCAGGGGCATATTTTAAGGGTAAGATAATATAAGCGACTTCAACAATGTAAATCTCCTTGAATTGTTACCTCCTTTTCAGTGTTTTATTTGTTTTAGAGGTTTCTGTGGGGAAGAGTTTTCGTTATGAAAACATCTTTCTAGTGTTAACTCCACTGAAATCTGACTTTACAATACATGTTTTATACATAATAATCTCTGATTTTAATGCTTATTTTCTTTATTTATTTCATTAATACACTGAAAAAAATGATCTAAAATGGTTCTCATCTCATTAACAGACATCTCTGAATTGCAAATACAAATAATGATAACTTAATGGATAATTTTAATTAAAATTCTTCAAACTCTCAACTCTTAAAATCATAAAAAGAATTAAACATTACATTAAAGAAGAATAATCACGGGTCGAGAGCAAAAATTAATTGAGACAAATGTAGAAAGGCAAAGGTAAAAACCAAGGTCAACGAGGCAGAAATCACTTCCTGTTGGGTGGTTATTTAATCACACTAACCAAATATAAATTTAATATAATTACAGATACTACAATATCTATTATATAAGCTCGGAATTTTGGAGGTTATTGAACTCGCCTTAAATCGAAATTAATTATAACATAATACTTGGGTAATATAAATTCAATTGAATAAGTTGAAATCAAGTCTTTGTAACGTCTGATAAAATTCGTTAAAGTTAAATTAAGTCTTAAATTACCTTGAAAACTTGTGAAAGCTTTAGACATGTAACTGTTTTTTTTTTTCTCCCCTTCTTATATTTTCCTTAAGATTTTGAGGTCATTCTTGAAAGTAGACCACGTTTGCCTCGGGTTATAATATTTCCTGTCTCTTATTGTACGCTAAAGTAATTAATATGATAAACAATACTACTATAAGTAGAGTCTACGTAAAAATAACATTTATACAGTAGTTTTGCTATCTTCGGCCTTGATAATAGTTTAAAAAAACGCTGCGGATTGGCGTTTATTCTTACGTGTTTTTAATGTGTAAAACACACAAAAAAAAAAATGGAGGAATTTTTCGTGATATAACTTGCCTTTTTGCCAATTGGTTTTTAAGAAAAGAACATTTTGATTATTCTATTTTTTTTTCTGTTATTTATATGGCTTCCAATTTATTGTCTGTTGTCAGGCTTCGAAAAAAAATACATCCGCAATTTTTCAGATGAAGCCTTCTTATCGATACGACAACAAATTTGTAATTTAAAATGACAACTCTTTATTATTATTATTATTATTATTATTAACTCCTTTTTTACTGCATACTGTTTATTATACTGTGTATTATATACTATTGTGTATGTATTAGAAGTACGCCTAGTATGCTTGTATAACGCTTACTTCTCCAATATACAATATACAGTCCGATACATAATACACAGTACGATTGGGCCAATTTTTTCTATATAATTATATAAAACAATTAAACAATAATTATAAGGAAAGATAACAAAATAGTTTTGCTAATCTCCTTATAATTTAAATAGTTTTTAAAAATATAATGGACATAAATCAATTATGAAGAAGTTTACACGTAATTTATGCAATTAAAGATTTTTCTTATTATCCGAGTTGAAGATAATGTTCTTAATATAAGAAGAAATTCTTAAAGCTATTACTTATCTGTATAAATGTATAAAGATTAAGCAGACCAATTCGTATTCCTTTGGTGTAACTTCGATTGTTGAGCCAATCGACGAACCACGCTGCCGAATACATCTGTTCGAATCCTCCTCTATGCAACTTATCACAGCGATTCCCTCGATTGATGTCAAATAATCCTATGAGAAGGACATCACCTGGTCTGGATACATAAGGAGTGACCGACTGACCACAATACTGACAATGACCAATAGATGCCATCGATAGAATTACTAATGTTAACAATAGGATCTTCCTCATCTTTCGAAAACATTAATTTTATAATATTCTGTAAAAAAATGTTTGGATTAACATTATCAGCAGTTGATACTATACTTAAATTTCTCAATAATTTATAATTTCTATTAAAATAGATTAATAAACAATATTTTAATGCTTAAACAATACACTAGGTTCTAAAGAATTAAATATAGTATAACACGTGATCCCATCTATTTCCCAATTCCCTCGATCTTTAACCACCAAAATTTAATAGCATCAATCCCCTAATACGGCCTATATATACATTTAACTCTCTCTGCCCTGTGGGCACTAAGAAGACCTTCTTAAAAAGCCTATTACGGGTTCGGTCAGGCCCACAATTGGTGGCCAGATGATGAGCGTGTCAAATTACCCACACCAGCGATAGTTTGTAAGAGAAGCATATCACTTATAAGACCCAGAAATCAAGAAAAAAATGGGAGGAAGAGTTGAAGGATTCAATGAGATATGGCTAAAGATTGAAATATGAAATCAAGGAATGGAGTTGGTAAAGGCGTCTAATATCCTGCAAAGATTTAGCCAAGGATGACGATTTTACAACAAAATACTACAATATTCAGAATATTTAATAGAATTACCTATCTAGTTATAATAAATAAAAGAATTATTTAAGATGATAAACGATAATAGTCTTTATAAATTTAATCACTGTTTGAAGGGATTATTGTAGTTTCTGGGATCGAAATTGAATAAAAAGTATCTGAATTTGACAGGTTTGTCTCCATTTTTAATTTAATTTACTTGCTGAAAATCATTGTTAAACTTCATCAACACATTATGAAGTTCTATTGAGGAAGTTTCTACAATTTCAGTCTTCATTCTATTATTTTCAGCAATTTATACGTATTGTATATTATTATATACAATATATATATATATATATTTTTTTTTAATGGTGTAAGCTGTTGTCTGTTTACTAAATTAAGTAACTTGCTGTATATAAACGATTCGTTTGTATTTTCGTGTTGTTTATTTTGATACGTGTTACTTAATGGTCAATTACCTCCTGATAACATAGTGATTAGTGAACCACCCTTTAATTCGTGTAATACAAATCTTACTTCACGCTCTTTTGTTTGATTAAATTCAATACAAATGTCTGTTTTACTTTCGTATATTCGATACTCTTAACCCATTTGAAGATTATTTATACTTGAACTTAAGCAATTAAAAGAAAAGAAAAATGTTTAAGAAGGGTGGCACGCCTCGTTCTTACAGTAGATCCTCGCTTTACGACCGCTCCAGTATTAACTTTTCTGTAACGATTGTATAAAATGTTGTATCTTTTTAGTCATCTAAATGTAATATTATATAATTAAAGTAATTATAACTAGGAACGTAATCTCAATTTATGACATTGAACTTATGGGAAGTAGGACGGCTCGCTTAACGACGATTTCCTAAATAGGTCATAACATCGAGGGATCTACTTTAATTGTTAAAAATAAATAAAAAGACGAAGCAATTTTACTTTAAATTATATTAATAATTAAATAGAGTATAATCTCTGGATATTTATTATAAATATTACACGCTTATAACTTTTATAGGCTTCATTATAATGTAACATGTATAGTCTACAGAACATTTCATTTCATGGTAATTAATTTTATGGTAATTGTTTCTATAATAAAATCTCTCCCTCTCTGTCTCTCTTCTACTGTCAAATAAGATAAAATATGATTTATAAGTACTATATTTATACATAATTTGTATTAAAATCACTCTAAAATATGCTACTAAATTATAATTTGGGTAGCATCCTTATAGTAAGTCTAATAATGTAAGATTGCTTTCTAAAGATAAACCATAAATTTAAATTAATCTTCTTAAAATAAATCTAAATTAAATATTTCTTTTATTAGAATGAACTTTTATCGCATGAATTCAATCGACCTAGCATTTGTATGTTAATGATTATGTACAGTACTCTTTCAGATAACAGGTTAATGAATATCTTGTTTAATGAGTATAATTAACATATTTACCATTGATTATCTTAATAATATAAAGGATATTCGAAAAGCCTTAAATTATAAGAAAAAATCTAATTAATTTACTGCTTTTTTAAGGCTAATATTTGGACATTCGAAGTATTAATTGAGTATTAATCATGTGTAGGTGGCACATTAAAGCCAAGCCATTACTTGAAAATGATTGAGTTTTTCTGTGTTTCTAGGCTTTTTGGAGTTTAGTTTACGTTGAAATCCTACTGTGCAACTGGCAAATGGCAGCAAAGTTTCCAGTTGCTTTTGCTACTCAATGTGCAACTTGAAAGAACTGGAAAACTATTAAAAATTATTAGCTGTAAAGCAGGCACAAATATGTTTTAGTTATTTCTTAATTTGCTTTAGTTATTATTTAGTTATTGCAGGACATTAAAAATTATTTAAAAAAAACTCGCTTTTCAATGTTAATAACAATAATCATTTCAATTAAATAAATAGAAGGGGCAATAATGACCCCTTTTTTTTACTCTTTCCGCCCTGCGGGCATTAAGAGGGCCTCTTATAGCAGGCCCATTATGGGTTCGGCCAGGCCCACAATGGGGCGACCGGGTGGTGAGGGACGGGGCCCGACATATCTGAACGGACCATCCCCGAAAAATTGCTGGGGATTCCTTGACTCGTTCGGATTCGATTCCAGGTCTCCCAGAGCGGTAGGTTGCAACCTTGACCGCTCGGCCGGACCTACAGCGGTCCTTTAAAGTAGTTTAATACGTTTTGCAACTTCCAAAATCATATTAATAATTCTGTGTAAAATATATATTAAAAATTACCTTTACGTAGAAATTTTCACAAATAGAAAAAGTTTATTAAAGTTTGCTGGAAACTGCATACAACAACAAATGCTTTGAATTGAGTTGAAAATTTAAATAAAAAAAATGAACTTAGATCAAACTTCTAACTTAAAGGGTAATTTTCGTTTTTTTTTTAAATAAACCGTATTATAAAAATTTACAATAATATTTTGTATTAAGATTTTAAAAAACAAAGATGGTCAATACCCCGATCACTCAATTTGATTCTTATTTTAGTAACGAAAAGTCCCGCTACCAAGAATGCTCTTTCCGATTCAATTCATGTGGGTGGAATCGTCTTTAATGCATTTAATAGAAGACGGATGTTATGAGTTTTTTTCACCCGTAGCCTGGAAGATTTCTAGTTCGTTTTCGAGATTGTAATACTTCTTTTGCTCTCTAGTATTCTTGATTTGTCTACCGCGGCTGCTTTAATAGAAACATCAAGCTCATAGCCCGATAATTTGGCAATTCGTTTTTGGCTTTAATAATCAGATTTATGAAGAAAAACTTCATACTTGTAGACTTCGTACTCGTTGGTATCCTTGCCCAATTTGCACAATTTGGCGTTACGCAGTTATTGATGCTACTGGGCATGGTTAAAAATTAAGANTGATAATTTAATTGTTAAGAATCAGTATTTTAACGTTTATATCTTAAAAATATGCAGCTAATTTGCGTAGATTTTATATAATTGTAATGAAGTATTAAGAATTAATGTACGAAATTGTATTATTATTATTAAATTCTAATTTAAACAATGTTATTGGGCATGTACAGTACAGTACGGCTATTGTTAATGTAGACTATATTTTGCAAATCCTGGAGCGAAACAAGAGAAAAATAGGGCATTATGACCCGCCGTGGATCATTTTAGCAATTATTTTTTTTTGTTCTTCTATACAACAATACCTTAATGTCGATTTTGTAGGGCTTAAATTAGGCGGCTAGTAAAAGACATTTTCTATTACCTATATAATAACTAAAGTTCTTTCGTCCCATTAAACAGAAATTCTACAAGAATGGTTATTATTAACGGCAGAAATTTACTTTTTTTTAGCGTGAAAGTAAGTGTTAAATAATAATTTCTATACTGTATAGTTAAATATCAAGAACATTTTGCTCTACAACTGCAGTAAATTCTCTTCTTGACACTGTAGGAAGGGTAGGAGCTCGACTTATGAGGCTACATTCAAGGCTTCAGGCTTTAAATTTTATTTTTATTAATAAGGCCTCTTATATATTATATAATAGGATCGTAAAACTTCTAAATGCAAAAGTGTTAGTAGGTTACAGTTAAGTACAAAATGCTTATTTGTTGTAAACATTGCGTTTCGCAAGATCAATTAAATCAAATACAATCAAAAATATTGATTTCTCTAGTTAAATAAATGCTTATAAACTCATATTAACAATTACTTAATAAAATTTACTATATTTTTAACCCCCTAGAATATTTTAAATAATGTTTATAGGTAGGAAAAAAACGGCAGAAGTTACTTTTAGGTTATTGATGTATATACTTACACATAGAAAAAAAACTTACCTGTTTGATACTGAGGAAAAGAAAAGAAGATAAAGAAGACGGAACAGTTAGGCAACTACACTCCTTCCTGCCGAGTGATTATAGAACATTTTCCGAGGTACCACGGGAACCACGTGCTCGATCAACACTGCCACCTACCGGTCAAAACAATTATCTAGACACTCGGACGGTCAGTCGGACGTGACAATTCGACGAGATTTCTATCTCGTCTATTGTTTCCGTAACACAATTCAGGCTGCAAGCAAAATATTTCGTCATTTTTTACGACTTGATTTTCTCTCGTAACAAATTGACAACAATGTAAACTCAATTGCGTATTTTTGAGAAATTTGCTATTAAATTTATCGAATAAATATAGTTTTTTATTTAATATAATATAATTTTAATCGCTAATTGAGCCGTCGTAAAGCGAGCCAATTTTTTTTTTATTTCTCTAAGTTCAGTGTGGTAGATTAATTAAATATACGTTCCTAGAAAATAAATTATTTTAATTCTATATAATGTCTACAAAGAAGAAAGAGTAAAACATAACCATATAATTATTAAGCATGGAATATTATAACAAAACCAGTCGTAAAGCGGAGATATTTAAATATATCGGTAAGTAGGAAGTAAAATATTTATCTAGTATATAGATAATTATTCCTGGGCCTTTTTGGACCCAGGCCCTAATACGGAGGGCCCCAAAATTTAAGGGATATAAATTAAAGTTTTGTTTTAAGATGAAAAATCTATTTGAGTGAAGAAGAGTTACATCTCTGTTTGATTGATTTTCTGTTCTTAGGGATTAAAAAGAACGAATTGTATAGGTTCGATTTACCTGTGTACGTCTTCTAGCTACAAATATATTTTTATTAATTACCTTTATTAATTTTATTCTTATATTTTTATGGCTTCTAGATAAGGGTGGGCCCTACGTTTATGTCTTCTATCCCACCTCTATCTCAGGCTCTGCTTATAAATATATGAATTATTAAAGTGTTTTAATCGGGGCCTCCTACCCATAAGGTTTACTGTACCTAGTCTCGTCTTTCGTCTATGTAACCGTTCTCGAGATTAAGGAAAGACAGACAGGCGGACGGACGACACTGGCAATTTATAAGTCTACAGTTTTTTTCAAATTGCAATTCAATTAATTGATATTTAATTTGTTTATATAATTTTATAATTTTCTTGTCTTGGAAAAAAATATTTACTTAGAATAAAGCACGGTATTTTATATATTTTTAATTTTATTTTATATTTACAGTTACGTTCTGCAATTAAAATTTACAACACACAAGTGAAAAATCGTTATGGTAATTTATAAAGTAGGTTATTATAATTAGAAAGTGATGGCATAAAAATGTGTGATAAAGTTATGTACTGGTTAACTTTAATAAGCTTTTAATTACAGTCGAACCTTTAATAAAGGCCAACTCTAAACAATGCCATTTTGTAGGATTTCCATGCTACAATGTCAAAAGAAGAAGACAACAATATGTAATAATACTCATACAATGGAATATTAATTGTTATTGGCAAGCATTACCTTTTGTAGGTTTGATCCTGCACGCATCTTCACGATCTCTTCCAGTACTTGTTGAAACAACCTGTAATTATTTGAATAAATTCGCTGCCTCTAACCACCTTTTTACCTGTAAAATAACACTAAACACTTCATCTTTAAGTGAAACTGTGTAAAGAACAATACACACTCATTACATCGCTTATCGTTGTTGCATTGTTGATTAATTTGTTAACATACTTCAAGTATATCAACCAACAGGTTAACCGCATACAGAAACAAATCCAGTTTAACTCTCATATCCAGAAAAAGCTATCTTTTCACAATTTCACACATAATACAGCTTATATAAACACCTCGTATGTCCGTTGTTTCATCAAACATTGCGTAAAATTGGGTACACACGTACCGATATATCTGAACATGTGAATTACAGAACTTAGTTTTTTTTATCCACATATTCAGGTATACTTGCACACTGATACAGTATATGTGTACCTGACTTAACAGTAGCTGTTCTAAGTGTTCAACCTACTGTATACATGAGAAAGAAAACACAATATGGGTGGTCGAAAAACCTACGTCACAAAACATGTAAAAGAATACACTAAACAAGAAAACTGTGATTGTTAACTTTCATCGGTGCAAAAGACGTTTTTAAGGAATCTATTTTTAAAAAATCCAATAATAATTAATTTAAACGGAAGAATGAATACTGACAAAATATGAAACGAACTTTTTAATTAATTTAATTCATTTAAATGCTGATGAGAGGTTGAGTTGTACCCGAAATGAATGGTTATAATTACGCCACGTTTTATCCATGTAGACTTTATCTTTGATTTACAGTCGTCAAGTAATTCGAGTCTGTCAACTTGAATAAAGGTTTTCTTGAGCCCATCTTTAGATTGAAAAAAACGACTGTTCTTTATTGAATTCACGGTCAGTTTACATAAGAAAAAATTATATTTTGGTTTATTTTAGTTAGCCGCAGAGGAAGCGATATTCCTTCACTAATTCATTACTTTGATAGGAAAATAATTGATTTATACAAAAAAATATCGATTGTCCAAGTGCGATTTCTCGTACATTAATGCCTTTAAAGTTTATGCAATGCCTTCTTCTAGTAGAGAAACAAATTACAACGTTATTAAATAAATTGAATTTGCGAATAAGAGAAGATTTTAGCAAGAATTTATATCCTGAATTTTAAAGATTTAAAAAGTGCAGAAAGTGAAAAAGTATAAGAACCCTTATAAATTATGTATACGATGTATATGTATAAATTATGTATCGAAAATGTTGTAATTTTTATATTGAATCTCTTGATAAACAATTTCTGTACGTTTAAGTAATAAATTACAATAATTAACTGACTTTTGAATTATTTTTTTCTGTATTGATCTATATTGAAGTAAATAGTGCAGAATAGTTAATAAATTTAATATTAATAAAATTATGTTTTCACAATCGTTATAATATCTCACGAAACAAAGCCCAAAAATAACACAATTTTAAATTTAAATTCCATATACTGTATCTTATTCTTCAAATTGTATAAATTTTATAAGGCCTCAAGCCAATTTCTTCTATAATTTATTAATTAAATGAGTAGCGGCCGGATGGCCGAGCTGTCAAGGTGGCAGCATACCGCTCTGGGGGACCCGGGCTCGAATCCGAACGGGTCCGTTCGGATATGTCGGCCCCGTCCCTCACCATCCAGCAGCCCCATTGTGGGCCTGGCCGAATCCATAATGGGCTTGCAAAAAGAGGCCCTCTCAGTGCCCACAGGGCGGAAAGAGTTAAAAAAAAATTATTAAATGAAATAAAAATATTTCATTTAGGTGCTTGGCACGTAAAAACCCGAAAACTGCACGTGACCAGCATGTCGCTGAGGCGCTAACTCGCGACCGACCACTATATCTACTTGGTTATGGTAATGCATATTAAAGTTTAGAAATTGATAATTTAATTATTATATAAACCCGAATGTTTATGCTCTACGTCATACAGGATAATCTAAGAAAAACCAAGTGTAATATTTATCCTTAACTTGATCTTTACATTATGTGAAAAACACCATGGGAGGATATTGATTGGAATTGGTTCAGATCTTAATCTTTGAAGGTGGACACTGTCCAAGGACTTTCCATAGACTTCAGAACACTTTTGAAATGTCTTCTAGATGCAAATATTATGGTCGAGTGGCGAAGGTGACAGCCTATTCCTCTGGGGAATCTGGGATAAAATCCTGGGACCTCTACCCTCAAAATTCACCTTTTTCCTATTGTATAATAATTAATTTCATTTATAATATATGCTCTTTATCTTAAATTAGTGTCTCGTCGCCCACCAGTGACCAAGCGGTTCTGTACCCTAAACACTGGGAATTCGGTGGTGAGTTGTGCCTCGGCCGGACGGGCTGGCCACGTGGAGTTTTCCGGGTTTTCTCCACGTCTGTAACGTCTGAATAGGGGACAGTTACCCCTAAAAAGACCCATTAAAGCAAGGCATCGCCCAAGTGTTGCGTTGCCATAACTTAACAAAACAAAATTAACAAGTGTCTTGTCCTTGTACAGTACATTACCTTTTTCCTTTAATAATAGAATCATGCCGGGCATCTATTAACTGCTTTCAGGGGAAAAGCAGTTTAATTTGAAATAAGGTGACTTCCGGTTTGCATTGAAGTTCTTATATAGTTAATTGTGTTTCCTGCCCCTAAGGTTTTATATATTTAACTCCGTTCTCGAGATTAAAGAAAGACATACCATCATCGGACAGACGACAGTGGGAAGTTGTATGTTTACAATGTCGCTTTGTATAGCAATACATCGATTGTATGTTTCTGATGTCGGAAGAACAAAATTTAAACCATGTTCGCTAGTTACAGACTAAACGGTTTATGAGGTGTAAAGAAACTGCATTTATTTGAATAAAATCAAAAATATTGTATTTTATATCGTACCAAAACAAAATGTAAGGCAACATCTGCGGATAGTGAAGACATTTTGATTAACGTATCGAGTTTGAGAATCATAAAACAGTGGATAATTTTTTTTAATAGGGAACAAACAAAATTTTATTATTTAAGGTACAAACTGGCAAATTAGAGCTAAGGTGCCAGCAAGCAATTACAAAGTTTTCTTTTCTACAATATCGATTTCGCGATAAGTTTCTCACAAATGATTTGAAGTATATTCAGTCACCATTGTGTTAGTCCTTAGTTGTAATGAGAGTTCATGAATGATCATTGATTAATTAATTGTGTTCCTATTCGTAGAGATAAGAAAAGAAATCAGAAGATCCACTTCTTCATCGTCTAGTGCTTCGATTGCCTGTCGAACTTTTAGGAACGATGATCTGTTGCCATTGGGTAGAACAGATGAAGACAAACTTCTTAAAATATTCTTTTTTGAAGATTCGTATGCCAGTAAAGTTGTCGTCTCGGATTCCGGTGGAATTGTCACATCCATGTGTTTGTTTTTCTTATTCAAGATGGCAGACGAAACATGCTTTCGACCCAACTCCATTCTGCACATTTGAAGAAATACAACACAAATTACGATAATAAGTATGAGTAATAACCAATAAATCACCCGATTAGTTTCGATAA